AGTCAATGCAGGCGACAAACTCCTCGGGTGACATGTCGGCGACGATGCGCCAGACGGGCTTGCCGAGGACCTTGGCCCACAGGTCCCAGATGGCGTTGACGACGGAGCCGAGGGCCAGGTGGATGACACCCTTCTCGGGACCGATCCATCTCAGCTGGCTGTCGTTGACGAGGTATCTCCAGGTCTGGCCCCAATTTGAGACGAGGTCTGACAGCTTCTTGCCCTTGATTCTCTCAACCAGGTAGTCGATGGCCTTGCAGACGATATCGTTTCCTCGGCCGATTGTGAAGGTCTGGTAAGGGAGAAAGAGGGGTGAGCGACTTTGCGAGACTGAGATGTTTTTGGGATCAGGGAAAAGGGGAAACAAACCATGCCGTGGCCAGAGAACTTGGAATCGGTCTCGAGAATGCAGTAGGCGGCAGAGTAGTCACCAGCAGCGTTCATGGCATCGGAACCGGTCTTGTCCAGGGACGTAGGGAAGCGCACATCGCGCGTCTGCCACCCGGTGATGGTGATATCGAGACTCATGATGGGCAACTGACTGAGAACGGGAACAATAAACAACTAGAGAGAAACACGGACCGTGATTCTCGAAGAAAGCACAGTAGACAGCAAGAAGATTGGAGGGGAGAGGAGAGAAGAATAGAGGGAATTGCTACACTACAAAGGAACGGCAGAGAGATTTGAGACCTTTATAGCCTCCGACGATGCGTTTCTTCTTTCCCCTTCCCCTCCCCGCCTCTGCCAATGGCTAGACCACTCACGGGCCACGACCCTCTACTTTTTTCCACCTCGCTCACTTTTTTGCTTTACCCCGAGTCTGGAGTTTGGGCCGTAGGCGGAGGGGACAGTTGCTAGTAGCAGCGCTGGAGCATGAGGGGAGACGGAAGAATGGAGGGGTAGGGGGAAGGAGGGGGAGGGGCTTTCAGTGGAGGGCTTGGAGGGGCATGCGCCGGAGAGGGTCCCTTTCGGTGGGGCTTGGCAGCAGGAAACAACCCGGCCCAGAGACGGCGTGCCAGCGCGGGGGGCTCGCCAGGCCGAGCCGGCTTCGGACCCATCCCCTTTGCGGTCTCTGATTGATGGAAGAATTCCTCCGCCTGGACAATTTAGCGTGCCTCGTGCTCGGTGTACGCTCCGCCAGACCCCCAGGCCTCCCAATTCTGGCTTCTAGCCTTCCACTGCAGATGTTGACGATGTTCGTGGGTGTTGGGTGAGGGGAACGAATGAGAATGGAAGAATTCGATCAGACAGCTTCTCTACGAACTAGTTCCCTGTCATTCGGGGTTCAAGTGGCTGGAGAATTTGATGCTGCGTCCTTAGCCGTGATGAATTTCATCTAACGCACGCATGTAATTCTCCGCGAAGTATATGCAGAACGGCTCTAGACGGCATTTCAATGCCAAGGGTGCCATTCTCTCTGCATTTGCGCTCGACGAATTGACGTGGCGGCATTGGTGAATAAAGTGCTGGACAATCGAAACTCTGTCATGTAGGATTGTATCAATCGTTGTTCTCTCAACAGATTGTCCCTTTAATCACCTGTTCAGTAAGGCTGTCTTTTGTGAGATGTATGGTTGTAAGGGCACTATTTCAGTGTGTCCTCTAAGGTAGCTGGACCCGCGCCTTCTTGAACACTCGCATAAACCTCTTGGTATTCTTACACATCTTCCACTTCGTCTAACTTGCATGTCCAGCGGTAGGATTTCCTCCCTACGTGGCTGGCTTCAGCAAAAAGTCGATAGAATCGTTCAGTCATTACTGGCCATAGCCCTCTTACTGGGGCCTCCTAGACCCGATCCCCATGCTCGATGTAGGAGAGGGAAGTCGTGTGTATTGTTCGGCTTCAATTCTTGCTGTTGACTCAAAGATCAACATTGACACTGCGAAAGACAAGGCATGGGGTTTGCACATCCCGCCAAGCACGCCCTACGAAAAGAGTAGATGGTGCACGATGCAATGTGGGGCTTGGCAGGGGACCCAAGGGCGGCATACCGTATCATCTACACTAAGACGATTGCTGCCAAGAGAGGATCCTACATCTGCATGGCACTGCCTCGCTCTCTAGTGCTTGTGTGAGATGTTCTTGATGAACGCCCTGGCTGACGGTAGGGGTGAGACGCCTGCGAGCTGATTCGAGAAGCTCGACGACTTCTCCGAGACCACCGGACCGCGCCACTTGCTCGGCCGAGACTTCAAAGTACCGACGGTTTCCACGTTGGAAAAGGTATTGTGCCTGGCTACTTGCATCAACCTCAAAAGACGCCAAGTAGTCCTCTAGTATAGTGTCAGAGCCTGCGTACATCGGCACACTCCATCGATTACCCCAAGCGGGCCACGGCTTCTCCGCCTCCCGCAGATGAGCCGGATCCACGGCAACGTAGAGAGCACGGAGAGTACGGGAGCCCCACAAGGTTAGTAGGCCGTTCAATGCCTCGGAATTGTAGAATGAACTTCGGCCGTCAGAGGAGCCGACTTGGTGAGGTCCAGGCCAAGCGAGGGCCAGACATCGCAGCGGGGTCGGCACATGAAGACGAAAAACGCCGGCAGTACTGATCAGACGGCAGGGCCACTGCCATCCAGTATTTAGAATGATGAGATCCTCCATGGCGTCAACTTCCATATGGTATGCGCCCAAGGAATCGCCACCCCGAAGTATGAGGGTGTAGGAAGATGAATCACCGCCTCGAAGAAGAAATGGGTGAGAAGGTTTGATGAATTTTAAAGCGCGTGTTGCTACACGATAGGAGCGATGGCAGGCGAAAAGCATGCCAAAGAGAGTGGTCATGACGCAGTCGCGATCCGAGAGATGAGAGGGACCAGAGGTGCGAAGTCTGTAGAGAAGAACTCTATCTTTGATATTGTAGCGGTCGATGGAGCCATCCTCGGCGCGGCCCATGGGATGGCGGGCCAGTTGAACATGGAAAGCGGTCGGAGCGGGCGGGGGAAGGGCAGCTTCCCAAACCTTGTCTTGCAGCTCCAGAGGTAGGTTGGGAAAAAGAGCAAAGTCAATCATAGCTGTTGATGATGATCAGGTGGGATAAGGTATTGTTGGGTACTGTGGGTGGTGTAGGCGATGCCGATGCCAATGCCCATTGACTTTTAGATGAAGGCTGATGGATGAGATGGCGAAGACGGATGATTGTCGTCCAATACCGGAGCGCAGTCCGGGATACTTGGACAACGTTGGAGGGGTTCCGGAGGCGAGTTTACGGGATGGCTGTAGATCTTGGACGGCTGAAGAGGTTTGTTGGTTGAGAAGGCGAAGGAATGGCAGCTGAAGATGAGGAGGGGAACAACCAAACAAGCGACGGAGGCGGTAGGGCGAATGTTGGTGGCTCAAGAACGATTCAATGCAGTCTATGCAGACGAGAGAACGCGGGGGAAACTACAATCGTTAATTGGCTCATTATGACCACGACGTTGGGATGTGTAGCCTTGAGGTGGAGGAGGCAAGCCGCGCAGGGACAAAGTGGCGGACCTAAGATCAGGGTTGAAGGTGGGAGGATGTGGGTGGGAATACTGCGTATGTCACTCCTGCGAACACCACAGTGGTTGTGAGAAGTGGGTGAGGCTTTTCGATGACATGGGCCAATCCACACGGCGGCGGGCAAGACGGGAGCCTTCCGACTTTCCGCCTGTCCTTTGGTCTTTGCCTGACCCGAGCGCCTGATTGCCGGCAGTACGTACATAAGCTACGTATACACCAGTACGTACACTGTTATGTAAGGTAAGGTAGGTAGAAATGCAGTTTCAGCTTCCCTTCTTCTCAACTGCAAACTTGCGAAAGAAATGCCACTGCAAGATCATCAAGAGCATATTCCAACTTGAACTCACGAGAAGGAACATCTCATCACTGCAATAGGCTACTCGCAAGATCTCACCACTGCTCCTCCGATGCCACCCGTCTAATCTCTGACCCCAGCTCCGAACTCACTTCTGCACACCGCGAACCATCCGACATGCCGTCCATCCATTGCAATCGCAGCCATGCTCACAGTCACACAGCCCACCGTTGAGCGAATGCGAGTTGAGATATGACCCCTGCCAGCGATCGGGACAGCCCACCAACCCCCAGGCCACATCCTTGACCGGTCAGAGCCTCGACCACCTTTTTTCTCGAGTTTCTTGGGGCACAAATTGCAAAGGTGGGATACGATGACGTGGGTTCAGCAAGGATGCCCTCGACGTTCCATCCTCCCCATCCATGTTTTTTTTCTCAACTAACTGACAGTGACTGACTGGCTTGCAGTGACTACTCATGGCACGCCGCAAACACCGTGACACCGACAGACAGAGCGGGATTTTGAACGCTTCGCCTCGAGTCTCGACCCTCGGGTGGTTTTTCTCGATATCCACTCTCCACTGCCACTACTGCGTACACACGTACAGCAAAAGAAGCAAACAGGAACGCATGGCTACCTTGTCCAGGCCCAGCCAACTGCGATGTGTTGTCCCAACCTCACATCATTCTGAGCTTAGCTTACCCTGCCTTGCCTCGCAGACGCAGCAGAGTGAGGCATCTCATTTCTTACCCTACACTACCTTTCCTTGCATTGCCTTGCTCTACGCACCATCCCGGTATGCCCTCCTCTGTGACCTCTTTAACCTTTTTGCTCTCCCACTGCCCGCTCTATGCCCGCTTCTCCAGTGGCCCAGTGGGAATCCGGTTTTGAGCTCTGCCTCGTCGAGTTCCCAAAGCCTCCATCATCGTACATGCATATCCCGACCTCCATGCGCGTGGATACCTGCGCTGACTCTGCCTTTTGCCCTCCTCCATGCTATAACATCCCTCCCTCTTGCTATCCCCTCACACCCACAAACCAACATGTGCATGGAACAGCCCATTTTCTCACGCTCAATTTTGATTCCCCGAGACGTCATTTGCCGCTCACAGAGAGTCATGAATTCAGCAGACTGCAAACCTCAACCAACCCATATATGACTTGAGCAAACCCTAGATAACTCTCCTCTCACGGCCATCGGTATTGCTATACTGCCAGACCAACAAAAGGCTTAAGACCGCTTCTCATCGCAGTCTTCTCTAGCCCAGCGTGACCTCATTTTTTTTTCTCACCATAGCTACTTCAACCAGAACAACATGGATCGCCGTCCTCATGCACAGTCACTGGCACCGCCAGCCCCAATATCAAGCAACCCGCCGGAACCTCCACAACGCTTACGGCGCAGGTTGCAAAAGAAGCTCCTGTCCATCCGACGTCCTGCACCTATCGACCCCGTGGCATCAAACAAACTCAATACCGGGGTGGCAGTAGCTGCCCAGCAAGCCGGAACCATCGGTCAACCTTCCTTGCGTTTGTCACCAGACCTGAGCGATGCAAAATGGCATGCATATCTCGGAGACAGCAACGCTGTTCGAGATCCGAAATCAAAATCACAAACAAACTCACAGTCAAAATCAAAACCTCTACCAGCGAGACCAAGAACGCCAGAGAAACCACGAAAAGTCTCATTCGACACAGCACCACCAGCACCGGCCATTATTCCGGAATTCTCGCACCTCGCCGTGAGCAATCTGACGCCGAGACCCTCTCTCGACAGCTCACTCAGCTCACCGACCTCATCCATCAGCACGAGATCGAGCATGCGACGCCATGCAAAGACGCCCATCTATGCCATTGGCCAACTGGAAAACGCAAGCTACGGGAGGAGCGCCAAAACCGCTGGAAAAGTCACCAGCGTCGACCTGATTGCAAACCAGTACAGAGATCTCCTCGAGACCCAGGATGCCAGCTCAATATGTACCGACGCCCGCTCTGATCCCTTCCCGTCACGACAGTCTTTGCACAGCCAGATTTCCTCCTCTACTACCCGGTCGCGCCACAGCGCCGGCGAGACACCCGCCGAGCAGCTCCGGCGAGACATCTTCTCGCCGGCACCGGCGCCGTTGCGCCGTGCATCGGCGGCGTACTCTCGGTCACCACGGTCTGACGACGGAACGCTGGTTGCATTCGACGAGGAAGCGATCTACTTCAAGCCCCTGTCATTCTCGCCAGAACCACCCTCGACACCCCCGCCCCCACCGCGGAATCGCGCCCGACTCAATCGAAATTCGTCCTCCCAAGGGGGGTCGAGTCAGAACCTGAGCTTGCAGATTGCCATGGATCTTTTGACCCGTGAGCTGTCGACGAGCATGTTGGATAATTCGCACAAGACGGGGACAGATGTCTCGTCTCTGCAAGTCTGGGTCATGATCGAAGCCTACGAGAGGTTGCGAGATCAGGTTCTGGAAGCGAGGAGGCAGACAGATGAGGCGCAGAACCTGGAGACGGTGTTTGATACCTGGTTAAAGGCTCTCTATACCCTCCATGACCAGATGACGAGTGATGCGGCTTCTCATGGGAGTAACTACGATGAAGCGTAGTTGGGGTTAGGATGGAGGGACGGATTCGGATGATCTACCTACTATTGATTAACTTGGGTACGGCTATACCCGCATAGTGATGGCAACGGCGTTGGAATGGATAGGTTCGGACATGGCATGTCTGAGTAACAGTACCTTACACCAGGTATTAGGAACAACAGTATCAAGTTTCAGCACCGATTGAAGTCTACAAACGAGAAGATCACAAGTGATGCATGCACTTTAACATTGTTTCCTACTTTGCCATGAGTTGTGTTGAATTGAAAGGACGAATAACCCCACCAGTTTGACAGTTTTGCAGAGGTGCCGAGTTCGATGGCATCATCAATTGCCGTTTGGGGCGTGTGGCCCGCTGTAGTCACCACTGCGTTGGTTGCCAGACCCCGCCAAAGGTAAGGTTAGGTACGTTCCACAGATCCATAGCTTCCGCGGACGCGATTCTCGCCGCGTGCACTTTCTTTGCATCGTTCAACATCACCAGTCGCATTGTCATCCTCCTGCTCTCCACGCCGCGCACCGTGGCACCGATAGAGCTCGGTTTCCGATCCCTTCACATACAACCAACTAGGAAAATACGTAGAATTGCCAATCATGGATGACGATTTCGGTGCCGACGAAGACTTCCTAGCCGCTCTCGCATCGTCGAACCCGGCACCTTCACGCCTCGAGACTCAACCATCTCGTCCCCGTGTGCAGCAACCGACGCCGCAGAAGATACAGCAGCCGACACCACAGCGCTTGGATAGACCGCCGCCCGCAAATGCTTCTGCGAGCGGCAAGATTGTCCAGCCGACACCCCAAGCCCTTCCCCAGCGAGGATCCGGCTCCGCCATTCTTGTGTCTCCACGGCAAAGGGGCAATCCGGTGCTCGCATCTCTCAAGTCGATGCCGTGGGAGTACAGCGATATTCTAGCTGACTACGGTCTTGGTCTGACGACATGTGCATTGTTCTTGAGGTTGTTTCACTACCCAACCAATTCCCTCAAACTATCTACCCACCTTAATGGCAGGCATGCTGACCGGCATCTGGGCTCAGTCTGAAGTACCACCGCCTCCATCCCGAGTACATCCATACGAGAATCAGGAATCTTCAAGGGAAATACAACCTACGTCTCGTACTGACCATGGTCGATATTCCGAACCACGAGGAGGTCTTGCGCGAGCTGTCCAAGACCTCTTTGGTCAACAACGTCACCCTCATTCTTTGCTGGTCAGCCGCCGAGGCCGCGCGATACCTCGAGCTGTACAAGTCTTACGAGCACGCCAACTTCAACGCCATTCGTGGTCAACAAGCGTCGACGTATGCCGAGAAGCTCGTCGAGTTCGTCACAGTTCCCAGGAGCGTCAACAAGTCAGATGCCGTTGCGCTAGTCAGTAACTTTGGTAGCTTGAAGAACGCAATCAATGCCAATCCCGAAGAGATTGGTCTGCTCGCCGGCTGGGGAGCTGTCAAGGTCAACAAATGGGTCAAGGCTGTCGAGGAGCCCTTCCGAGCACAAAAGTCTGGCAAACGACAGCTGGATCGATCGGACCGCACCGAGGATGGGAGGCCGTCGCAAGCATCGAGGTTGGATCAAGCTGTGCCTCTCAGCAGAGTTCCGCTTCGCGAGATGTCAACAAGGGACTCTTCCCATGGCTCACCTGCAGTGAGCACGCCAACGACAACCCAGCCCAAGAGACCTGCGGCCTTGGAGAGAGGCAATCCAGATCTGGACGAAGATGATGAAGAGGCGATGATCGCCGCCGCTATTGAGGAATCAAGGCGGACTGCTGAGGTGCAAGCACAAGCACAAGCACAGACGCCGGCGCAGGCGCAGACGCAGACGAAACAAGTTGACAGCGCAGGTGCCAAAGACGATGCACTTACAGACGGGGTCGCAGCCGCACTCGCAAAGTTGCGGAAGCAGGGCTGAACACTTGTATTCTCTGGCCCATCTCGCTTTTCCGTACAGCCCCAGAAACGCGACACAGCCTTGAAGAGTGTGGGCTAAAGTCTAATCGACGTTTCGAAAGGACGGCACACCTTACAAGAGACGGATTCGCGGGGATGGCACTTCCCTTGGTGTTCTGCGAGGCACCTTTCGCATAAGAAATAGGAAACACCATGACTCGTTGGGATTCGAAGAAGAGCATAAATGCGGCTTCGAGAGGACGAACGAATCGAACGATGAAGTAAACTTTCCGCACTTCTGAAGCGACCCTTGGGTTCGTCGGTGGGCCAATCATGACGATGCCGACCGGGAAACAGAATGCAACCATCAGACGATTCGCCCGGTAAGAAAGCGAAGTCCGTCGGTAGAAGCATGCCATCCAAGTCAGATCTAGAATCTCCACCGCTGCCTTTGGCGTCTCAACAGAGCAGGTGGGGGACTGAATGCTGTGCTCAATATAGGTTGTGTTCGCGGGTTCGCGCAGTGCGGGGGCGGCCTCGACACGGGTTTGCAGGTACCGAACTCAAAGTCAAGAGTTGGAGATGAAGATCGTCACGCACGCATCTGTTATTTCTCCAATGTCACCCTTCTGACCAAGTCAAGTGGTTAACATGGGACGAGCTGGCGGACCTTAGTTCTGACGCCGCGCCATTTGTCCCTATCACGATTGACATTTGGTCTTTGGTTTGTGTAACTCTTGGGCAACTTACCAAAGGACTGAAACTATTGATGCGCTACTCCTTGCTCTTACATGAAATCAAAAAGGCACTGCATCGACGCCGAGCATGCAGAGCCTCCGAGATCCAATAATCAGTAGCTCCGATCATCCCCGGCTAGATTAAGCCGGGTAGAGCGGCCACCGGCACAACCAAGCAGTCTTCTGATCCGCCCGTGCCAAGGCCAAAGACCACAGTCGGTCCACATATGAAGGCCATGGTCATTGATTTCCGTTGAAGCGCATCTTTAAAGTACCGAGGCGACATTGCCTCATACGGAAGGTCAACGAGTTACAACTTGCAACACCTTGCGGTCGGGATATTGTACGAGGGCCCAGAACTTCCTCCCCCCCATTCCTGTCTCTCGGAGGCTCGGGTATTACAACTCGCCAGCATTTGTTTCCTAGACTTCCTCTGCCCGTATGCAATTGCAACTGCAACGCAACGCTGCATTTAACTTTGGGTAGCACTGGGCAAGGGGGCCTTTCCCAAGTTTCCCCCCAACAGCTGCTCCGCACGTGCTTGATTCACCAGGGACGTCCGTGCCTGGTGACTTTGCCATTTCGAGATGAGCAGCGACGAACCTGGCAAGATCTTCTCTGCGCGTGTTTGATGCCAGTCATTACGGACACCAGCGGACTCGGCCCGCGTGGACGGCTCATCACTCGCCCTACCAATGGTGCAACCCCCCTTTGAACAAGAACAGTTCGTCTGACTCCTGAGTGTTAGATGCACTCATAGTCTCATTCTACTAGGGTGTGGGGAACTTTGGAGAAGTGGAGGGTGGCATCGAAAGGAACAATAATCAGGAGCTCGAAGATGAGCCGGAGATGGGAAGGAAAGACACCGGGTCGCGAGGACCACTTACCATGTCGAATGGACACAAGAAACGACGTTGCAGACGCAGCAAGCGGACAGAAGCAGGAGAAGAAGCAGGGGCAGCTGGTGTGGGAAGAAAAAGGTCCCGACTATGAGACATGGAGCAGGGGCGAACGCAAAGTCCGGGGGAGTATAGATGAGAAACAGAGTTTATTCATCTCATGCTGTGCCTGCGTGAAAAGTGTCCCAGTCTCCAGGTCCTCCTTCCCGAAGTTTCCCAGAGTTTGCCGATTCCTGGGGGTTGCGTGATTCTAACACCCCCCGACTGACCCATTGTCATTTTATTAGCCTTTGCGCGCCCCAATAATGCGGTCGACGTAGATATATATTTGACCACAGCCTCCCTCCCTCTGCTGTTCGTTCATCCGGACCCTGCTCCGCCTGTAGTCTCTTCTGCTCCCCTGGACCTACATCTACCACTCTGGAGGCTTCTCAGTCGCGAAACGATGCACCTGTCAATGCGTGGACTGGCCATCGCCGGGCTCCTCGCCCAGGCGTCAGCCTCCCCTCAATCTCTTCTACAGGCCGCCGCGCCGCAGTATGTCAACCAGCCCGAGAGGGCAGCAGCCGTCAAAGAAGCCTTCCAGCGCTCGTGGGATGGGTACCGCAAGTTCGCCTTCCCGAATGACACGCTCAAGCCGGTGTCGAACACGGCTGAGAATGACCGGTACGTTGCAGCATTTTGCCGCAAAGAGGCTGCGTAAAGGCCCCGTTTCCTGACAATGTCTTGCTGTAGGAATGGTTGGGGTGCGAGCGCTGTGGACGCCTTGAGTACTGCCATCCTCATGGAGAACAAGGACGTTGTGGGACAGATCTTAGACTTTATACCGACTATCAACTTCAACGTGACGGACAGCGAGGTCTCTCTGTTTGAGACAACCATCCGATATCTTGGCGGCATGTTGGCAGGTGAGACAGGTTTCCCAATGTAAATGGTGGTGTTTCTCCCGCAATGCTGATATAACTCAATAGGACATGACTTGCTGAAAGGACCCCTAAAAGACGTCGCCAGTAACCAGACAGGCGTAGACAGTCTTCTCGCACAGTCGAAGAAGCTCGCAGACAACCTCAAAGTCGCGTTCGATACAGCAACCGGCATCCCGGATAACACGCTCATCTACGATCCCAAGCCGCGCAAGAAGGGCTCCGACACGAACGGCATTGCGACCATCGGGACCTTGGTGCTGGAGTGGACTCGCTTGAGCGACTTGACGGGGGACAAGCAGTACGCGGATCTGTCACAAAAGGGCGAGAACTTCCTCCTCAAGCCTAACGAGGAGGTGTTCCCTGGCCTGTTGGGTACGGACGTCTTCATCGCAAACGGGACATTTGCGGATCGGTCCGGTGGCTGGAACGGAGGCACCGACAGTTTCTACGAATACCTCATCAAGATGTGGGTGTACGACCAGAACCGATTTTCGCTTTACAAGGAACGCTGGATTGCTGCGGCCGATTCATCGATCAAATTCTTGGCGTCGAGCCCGACTACTCGGCCTGATTTGACGTTCTTGGCAGCGTATAACAACGCGAACCTGAGGTTCGTCAGCAGTCATCGTAAGTTTGAACCACTTCTTTTTGGCCATGGTCGACTGCTAACGTGTTCGTCTAGTTGCGTGTTTCGATGGCGGCAACTTTATTCTCGGAGGCCTTGTCCTCAAGGAGCAAAAATACGTCGACTTTGGCATCAAGCTGACCGAGGGCTGCCGCGAGACGTACAAGCAGACGGCGACTGGAATCGGGCCAGAAATCTTCCGCTGGCAAGACGACAGGCCGCCGGTGAACAAGACGCTCAACCCGGACCCGCCCGCGAACCAGACAGAGTTCTACCAAAAGGCAGGCTTCTGGATCAGGGAGGACGGCGCGGGCTACGTTCTCCGACCCGAGGTCATTGAGAGCTACTACTACGCCTACCGCGCCACCGGCGACAGCAAGTACCAGGACTGGGCGTGGGACGCTTTCTTAGCGATCAATAAGACGTGCAGCGCGGGAAGCGGCTTCTCGTCCATCACTAACGTCCAGGATCCAAAGGGAGGGTCATTCGACGACTTCCAGGAGAGTTTCTGGTTCGCCGAGGTTCTCAAGTACAGCTACCTGATCCAGGCGACGGATGCCAAGGTTCAAGTCGAAGTGGCGGACAACAAGTTTGTTTTCAACACGGAGGCGCATCCGTTCCAGATCGCTTAGAAAGCGAAGACTTGTACGGGGAGGAGAAAGCCGAGGTTGCGGTGATGCATTGATGAGCGAGAGGGGGGATGATGATATTGATAGTTGGGCATAGATACCCATTATGAATAATTGCATTTTGTTGTTCTTTGGATAAGTTTGATACCGAGCGTCTTCCTTGTGGACGTGGCCTTTGTCGGTTTATTGTCTATACTTGGCTATGAGCCGCCGTCTCTCTTGGCGTATTCCTCCTCCATGGCCTCCTCGTAGAGCCGGTCGGCCTCGAGCTCGGCCTCCGTCTTGGGGCGGGTCGTGCCGGCTCCCGTGTTTGCGCCGGCCCCGGTGGCTTGGCCCGTGTGTTGCTGGCTCTGTCCAACTGTTTCCGTGGTAGTAGACTGGTGGGCTGGTTGTGTCTTTGTAGGTTCGTCTTCTGGGACTTTGGGAACGCCTAGTTTGATTGGAAGACCCATGGCGATGACGTAGGGCGTCGTTTGGTGGGATGAAGTTTGTGAGGGATGTACAGAGTATGTATCCGTAGAGAGTAGGTGGGAACTAGATGAGGATGAGGATGAGTGTTTGGGAGGAGAAGTGTGGCTGGAATGAGGCTGGTGTAGAGGGATGTATTTATGGGGGATGGAGTTGTGGATGGATGGAAGGTTCTTTGTGGCGGTATTGGTTCTGCGTAATTGTTATCTGGATGAGTCCGAATAGACTTGCGTGCACTTTGCTTCTGTGCTGGCCAAATAGTGATTTGTGGCGAATCATGGGAGGGAGCCAGCCGAGCCGTTCAGCTGACCAAGGGATGCAGCGAGCTCCGCTATTCGCCGTGTAGTTCGGATCCGAACCTGTCTTCGAGCCGGTCCGCCCCACCTTTCGTCTCCGGACGGAGAGCGTCACGTATTATGGTATCCAAGGTACGGGCAGAGCAAGATAAGGTAGGGTAAGGTAAGGTAAGGTACGTAGGTTGTGGAATGTAGGTACTCGTACATGTGCTATGTTCACCGGGCAGCCGGAATCGAGATTTGAAGTGAGACGGATTTTTAGACATTGGCCTGTGTCATGATCTAGATTGTCTTGAAAGTTTTGGAACCCTCGTGTCTCTCTCTTTCTGTCGGGAAGTGGGTGAGAAAGAGAGAGAGAAAACAACCACGTTCTGGATGAGACATGAAAAACACAGGATGTGTTCCCCGAAAGGCAATTGCTCGAAACTTTGCTTGCGATGAAGAGACGAAAAAAGTCAAAGCATACTGCATGCAACGCTTTGGCTCTTGAGTAGGAGTTCAAGGCAAGGAGCCATGGGATATGATTTGTGGATAAGACCCAATGTTACGGCAGTATTTTACAATCTGCAATCTGTGAAATCAAAGGGTTTCCGGTGGGATGAGTCCTGGAAAACTCAGGAACGACATTGCGACATTACCTATGACATTTGGTGGGATAGGGTTCCACGGCAACGTCGTTCTTGGCGGAAGTGTGTGTATGTGCGCCTAGGCCACCAAGAAACATCAGACACTGTCTGCTCTAAAGCGACTCGACTGGGCCACGTAGGACCTGTCTCACTCTCAATTCAATCGCACATGAGGAACGGGAACAACGCTGCAGGGGAGCTGTGCTTCTCTGTCACGTTACCCAGTGACGTTCTTCTTTACAGTTGTCTGGTGACTGGAAAGAAGAGTCGCCATTCTGATTCGACTTGTGCTGGTCAATTGCCAGAATGGAATACTTTGGAAGGTGAACAAGGTGCATCCAGAGCAGCCATGAACCAACCATTTTGGATTCCCAACGGGCCAGTGAGAGCGTTTGGATTTCGAATTTCCGGTCTCCCGTCGGCGCCGAGCACCGAGCGGCGATTTCCCCTTTGGACTTTTCTCTTCACCGTTTCTCTTTCCCCTGTCCTCTCTGTCAACACTGCTGTGGTAGGCTTCTAGATGAAGATTAGCCCCCCTTACCACAGTACGACTCGGCGCTGCGAAATAAACGCCGGAAGACCGGCCGTATGACCCCCGGAGGGTCGACCGGTTGCACCGCGAGCCAATCAATAGCGGATGTAGACGCAGTCAGAAACCCAAAAGAGGAAACGTAGTTATGTAAAGCAAAGGTAAAGCGGAGGTAACCATGCAGTTTGGTCCGTCACGGTGCTCCGAGTTGCGTTTAAGGATATAAGAGGTACGTACCCGTCCGTCCCGAGCTCTGGCGGGGCCGTCCCGAGCCAACAGGCCAATGGACGGCACTGGAATCGGTGCTTACCTCTAGGTCTGGCCAATCACCGACCGGCCGTTACTGATTACTCGTCCGAATGGTAACGCCGGGTCGCAGGGTGGCCTGCGACCCCTGCAGCCTCTGGGATCGGGGGCGCTCGAACTGGGCCCTTGCTAATGGCTTTCCGGGTCGCATTGAGCAACAAGCTACACCATAGGCTGCTTTTTCGCTGTCATGGTCGAGACTCGAGGCAAGCTTGGCCCTTTTTTTCACTTCTGGGGCTTTGTAAGTTTCGTTTTTGTTGCCCCATTGCTTGACATTCTTCTAGCCAAAGTACCTTGATTCTGCTTAGCTTTGATATGTAAGGGCAAGAAGGGGGGGGAACGGTACCTTGAGAAAAAAAGTCAAACTTTCCCAGGTCTCGAGGAATTTAAAGTGACGGATGGTTGCTCTCTTACACCACTCTTGACTTGACACTGGAATGCCAACTGATCTCGTCCCTTCGTACTACTTCATACTACATCATCCAGACCTTTGAACAACTCGATTCAACCAAAACAAAACAAACAAGCCTGTCTCACTACCCCGGACTCGAGCTTTCTCTCTCGATTCTCCTCCTAAAAACCGAGCTTACACCACGCCGATTTACAAGTCGAAAGAAAGTTCTCTTTCCCTCGGACGTGCTTCGACAAAAGGTCTACAGGATCAGGGCGAGAGAAGATTGAGATATATCAGATTAACCCCTACCTGGACTTCGACACCACGCTCCCATCACGATAACACATTAACACCAGGAAACCCGGTTTCCGTTCACCCTCTCTCTCTCTCTCATCTCAAAGAGTTATAAAATCACATTACATCACATCACACAAAATGGGTCTCGTCACATTGAAGAACCTCCTCTTCGGCCGCACGCCGCCCCCGACGCGCGCCAAAACCATCAACGGCCGCGCCGAGAGCACAATGTCAGATGAGACCATCGTCGACGGCGGCGACCTCGAGAGGCAACCCCTGCTGCGGCCTAGCGACCGAACGGTCTCGACGGCGACCATGGCGACGGCGACGTCAGAAACCTCCACCACATCCACGAGGGTCTCGGAGAGCGACTCGCGCAGCTTCCGCCTCGACGCTCGCATGATCTCCGACGCCACTATTGGACTGTCCGACGGCCTGACGGTACCCTTTGCCCTCACAGCTGGCCTGTCGGCGCTGGGACAGACAAAGGTCGTCATCTTTGGCGGTATGGCGGAGTTGATTGCCGGTGCTATTTCGATGGGTCTCGGTGGCTACCTCGGAGCCAAGAGCGAAGCGTAAGTCCTTTACCATAGTTCCGACATTATGTCTTGGAGAGCATCACTAACACGCAATCGCTACAGCGCATCCTACAAAGAAACCCGCAGGGAATGCACCCGCCTAACCCAAGACGATCCGGCCATGGCCCGCGCCCAGGTCCTCGAGGTCCTCGAACCCTACGACCTGCCCAAACAGACCCTCGAAGACGTGACGGATCACCTCTCCACCTCCCCACGGCTGATCGACTTCCTCATGCAATTCCACCACTGCGAGCAGGAACCGGCGTCCAACCGCGCCTTCATCTCCGCCCTCACCATCGCCGCCGGCTACCTCCTCGGTGGTCTCATCCCGCTGTTCCCCTACTTCTTCGTCCCCGCCGAGGACGTCTACCTGGCGCTCTACATCTCCGTCGCCGTCATGGCCGTCGCGTTGTTCGCCTTTGGCTACGTCAAGACGTGTATAGTCTCGGGCTGGTCAGGCTTGCGGTGCGTGAGGCAGGCTGTCGTCGGTGGGTTGGAGATGGTTGTCGTTGGTGGTGCGGCAGCGGGTGCGGCAATGGGGTTGGTGAAGGCTTTTGATCAGCTGGCGCAGTCTGACGATGTGTCTGCGTTGGCGAGCAAGATTTTCTAATGCTCTCACCTATTTTCTTTTTCTACTCTTTTTTCGACTCATGTCGTCTGTCTGGACAAGCTCCTTTTTCTTACTTCAATACCTCTACTCTTCTTTTATTCTCTTTGTCTAGGGTGTACACTGGAATGTGTTACACACCATCAGGGTGGTAGGGAGGCACAGGAACACTCGGCCCGGGGATTGGGTCAGGGTAAAGGAAAAATCTCCCATGTTTGCATTGTTTAGCGTTGCGCGGCCACTCCAAGGGAAACCTTATTATCCCAGAGTCGCCTTTCAGATCGAGAAGATAGTCAGGTCGCAGCGATGCGAAGGGGGGCGGCGTTGGCGTCGAAGAGTCTCACGAAACTACGGAATATGACAGCAAGGACCGCTGCAAGGGAAGACAAATGTTTACTAGAAAGATCATCTATCAAACAAGTCCGAGACACATTCTCTCTTTCCACAGTTCAGTACCACCTTCCTTGGTGAAGTGCCATAACTTATCTGCCACTTAGGCCTTCGTAGTTCATGGCTCCAAGACTATTTCTCATGGCGCTTCCTGCGGTGAACAGCAGCTGACTACTGTGCCTTCGTTGAAAGTAGTTGCTTGGTGGTCATCATCTACCTCATTCCTGTTTGCTCACGCCGTGGCTTTCTAAAGAGATGTATTGCCATACAACTGCGCCTCTACGGGAGAAACCATAGACTAAGCCCCTCCACGTTACGGTTCCACATCTTCGACTCTTTTCCCTGTCTCCGATAAACACCGTACCTATATCCATCTACTTGGGAACCACCCAAACCACACTTGGCGTGGTCGGCAGTGGCTCGTAATGCAAAAAGGCCTTCCTCTTGGCGGCTCTCCATCTCACGGCTTTGATAACGCCAATGATGAAGACACCTGAGATGACAGTGAGCCCAACGACGGCTCGGGCGATATCTTCACGTAAGCCCCAAGGGGCCCCAATGGTGCCGGGAGAAGAGTCGTGGTCAGGATCTAAGTGCGTCAGTACGAGAGTCTACGAGGTATTGGACAGGATAGAAGACATACCTATCTCTAGTGACAGCAGCTCGTCGACAACATGAGCAATTCCACCGTTAATGAGCACATTTTGCATCACCACCATCTTGTGATTAACAAAAATACGCCCCTTGGAATCGCCGCTGATGGAAATCTTCTTGCCGCTCAACGTCGTCACCATTCTCGGCTCTCGCGGGAAACACGTATGGAACAAGACATGGTTCGGAACGGCGTGGTCTTTGATGAGTGTCTCGAGTGCCTCGGTGTCTAGAGATTTCAACTTCGAGTGTCCTCTCCAGACGGCCTTGTTACTGGGGAGAAAGACGGTCACGTCGCGGAGCTTCTCGAATTCACCGTCCATGCCGCTTTTGGTGACTGTGTTCCAGAACCCATCGAGTTCTCCCAGACTGCTTGTCTCTGATAGACTACGGGGGAGAACCAGGCCCTGGTTAATTGTGTGAATGACGCCGTTTGCGTGGGGAATGTCTGTCTCAACCGTGTGTATGATTTTCTGGTCGCCAGATTCCACGCGGAGGCTGTTTGAGCCATCGCAGGTCGCTGTCAACTTGACGACGGCACCCTTGGAGATGTTCGTGAGGCCTGACGAAGGCTTCAGGGATGAACGCGCGAGCTGAGTCTCTGTGTGAATCGCGGGAGCCGATGAGAGGTAAGAGCCCTCCAGGAAGTGGTACTGCAAGATTCCCCTGGCGATGTCTGGGTCCATGGAGGTGAGATTCAGGCCCCATTTTGCGAGATAGATGATCGCATCGTCGGTCATAGCCAGGAGTGTAGAGTTTTGTGCCTTCTCGAAGGTGCCCATGAGCTTCAGGTTTGTAAGGAGGCCGTGAAGCATTGAAGTCGAGCCATGCTTGGCTAGGACGTCTCCGAGAGACTGTGCCGCCGCAGAAGCTAGTAAGACGGCAGTTGTGTTGTAAGTGAATAGATGCATCGTGATTGAGTATTCAGATGGGCCTATGCTGGCTTTGGATGCGCGTAGGGCCTTTGCAGCCGGTTGCTATATCTACATATACTTTTCCCAGTTGTCCTTGGTCTTGGCTTGGGGTCGTCGTCAGTCTCCTACTCCACCAAGTCTCAGACTCAAACTCTTTTCGGGCATGTAGACGGTAGAACACCTATCTAAGGTTCAACTTATGCTGATTCAAGCTATAAACTGCAAAGCTTACTATGCAGACAAACGGGCGTACTGGAAGGCGGCAGGTTAATCCATGTCTACGATCTCGACCGTTTCGACAAACGGATTCTCAAATCGGCGAACCACTGAAAGCAAGACTACTGCGGTGTGTATCAATGGCCAAGCATGTGATCCTGGAACAAGCAATTTGAGGAGCAATTTGCCCCAGAAAAGTAGGTCTTGATTGTGAAGTGATCGATTTGGAAGCTGCTGGGACTTTCGCGAGTGGGAATAATCAACTCGACATCATTATAGCGAAGCAGCAAAGACACCGTCTATAAGATCTATTGCCACGCGTTTTTGTCACATACGACCATACCCATTGGAAAACTCGGGATCCCGTCCGCTCTCCCATAGATAAGCCAATGAGGGCCGGATTAGTAGTTGGGTCGGTGACGACCAGCGAATACCTGGTGTTGTATGTTTTTGACTTCTTGTGTCATCATCTGTTTTATCGGTACCGGAGACCTGTCACTGGATGCAGATGAGATCGTTTTGGCTGGCCCCTGCACATTTGTTTGAATCAGGAGGAGCTCTTTGATGAGGTTTGAGGATTGCTAGACTAGCCTTACCCACAATGACTCAAACGTATTCTCGCGATCTAAACTGACTGGCCACACAACGCGGCTCAATATTTCCCTGGCTCCAGACCATGCAACAACGCCGGTAATCTTGACCCATTTCCGAATGAAGCTGGCTAATTCCTCCAGTATGGGATCGAGGCGCTTGTCGCAGATAAATAGCTGGGCATGAATCACACTTAATGATCCGACAAATGCTTTCCAGAGCCACGTGTCGCGTGTCTCTCGGCTCATACTTTGGAGTTTGACCAAGTCGCTTCTCAAATCCTGTGTAAGAATTCGAAGTATATGGTAATGCAGTTGCTTCTCCATTGGTAGGCCCTGATTCCAGATCCCAAGGACGGCAATCAGGTACATGCCGACGCCCGCACAGAATCCAGACCACGATGATATGAAGGCTTGTTTTCCGTGAGGCGGGAGCTGAATCTTGTCGGCGAATGATGATGTATGGGTGCTAATGACTGCGAACAGTAGGTCGGCTGGGCCACCACTATCCCAAACCTTCCAGGGCGTGGTGAGAACTACGTCAGCAGATGCTTTCACATGTCTTGTGTCTGCGAGCTTGGTAATATTCCGAAGAGCTGTAATAGTCGGGTACATATCAATGTTCTTTGGTTTTCTACCTTGCGGCACGGAGCTGAAAAAGAAAGGCACCATTCGGAGAGCCCTGAGACGAAGATCCAGATCACTGGCCTCGTGGATAGGCCATCCATGTATCAAGTGGGCCAACCCTCTAGGATCTGAGTGTGGCTTTTTGCCTTGAGATGATGCGGAGGCAGCAAGAGTGTCATCTGAGCGGCTCTTCAAGCAGTGGACGACGTTGTAATCTCTAGTGAGGTAAAGAATCAATGAACATGTTCATTTTACTCTGCCATTTCAGGCTTCTTACAGAATAAGATAGCGGTTCATCTGCTCAACTTCAATATCACCAATTATGTGTTGACCGGGGGTTTCCGCTCGCTGAGAATCCAGGTAAGTCATGAGACCTTTAAGGTGAGATTCGGCAATAGCCAGATTTCCTAGGCAACACTGAGAATTCCAAATGTCAGTATGACGGAGTGTAAGAGCGAACTAGCGTTGTAGCACCTCTATGAAGCAGAGCGTACTGATGTACTTTGCGCAACGCATGATATCTCGTTCGTGTGACGTGGTGACAAGCCAAGAGTTGACCTGTCGTATGCACTGGATCTTTTGGGAGACGAAAGTGGATTCGAATGAACAGAGATCGCCCTTATTCCATGCGTAGTGAAGGCCTGATATCAGTATCGTATTTTGCAGAACATCCGCATCGGAAGTAGCTGATGCAATACTGGAGGGCCTCTTAGTACATCATTGTCCGGACGCCGCGATAAACACTTACCAATCATCCGGGTTTCCGGGTACCGGACTAAGGGGGTGTCCAGCTTGAAAAACTATTTTGTTATGATCAGATACCGCGATGCGCATCACTGGCTTTGCATAGGAGAATAGACTAACAGTAGTGAAGAAGTTCCTTCGACCTGAGAGGCATGCTGATGGGCAATGTGTCGAAGGGATCAAGGGCTTCCCATGGGGTTACGTGGAAAGGACTCGGCATTGTGAGCACTTGGATAGATGGCGCCCCTGATGATACTGCGATCGCCTTGTGCCTATGATAGTGGTGTGTGACCGGTCGTGTATCCTCAAGGGCCCATGGTGCTTGTTGACCAGGGCAAGGGCCAGCTCTACGTTCGCGGAGCGGAATCTTCGGTACATACGAACATGGCTGCTCTTTGAGTATACAATTGAAGCTGTCGGACAAAATTATCAATCATGCACGTCTGAAGAGTTGCGATGCAGCCTCATGGGGTAGATTGTTATTATGTGATTGGATCCTGACAGACAGCACTTGTAGGAAGACTCCTCATGTCCACTATCTGACCGCGTAAATGGACACATTAGGAAGGCAGCTTACCAAGATGGGCGCCTCTCATCACATCGAATATGCTTTTGGCGGCATGATACGCACCCTGTCCGGCTTCGTGTATTGACGCGTCTCGCCTTGAGCTTATCTGGGCCAGGGGCCATGGTTGGTATGCGAGCGGCCGATATCAATGCTCGGGTGAGAGCTTTCTTCTCTGGCCTTTCGACCTGGCCATAAACAAAAGAAAACAGAAGAGTAAGTGACGAAATTCGATTTCATGTGAGATTTAAGCAAAGGCAAGTATATGCCGCTATTCCCGTTTGGGCCGAATAACCTGTCAGCCGGCGAATTATCTTTGGCCTCCTTTTCCCTACGATTTGTACGGGATTCGGCCAACTCCTGCACATCCCTTGGAGAACCACAGAATACCCATAGCCAGTAGATGTTGATTACGCTTGAGTATGGCACCTATTGGTTATAAAATGAGCAGAAAGTGACTTCACGAAACTTCTGGAAGTCTGCCTGCTGATCCTACTAAGAAGCCGCTAACAGCATCACCAGGCAACAGATCGAGCAACTAGACTTGGGGATTTGGTATAAAGATCGCTGTAATTCCTCACAAGAGGAAAGAAACAAACCATCTTTGCCTTCTTCATCACTCTGCGTCAACATAACTCTACCACATCTCAGACAATGGCCTCCCTGCCCTTCAGTGCCCGTCCCTATGCGGTCCCTGCTTCAGCAAATCTCACGCCCACCAGCATCTCAATCCCTGATGCCGAGATTGACAGTTTGAGGACACTTCTCAAGCTTACGCGCATTCCCAAGCCCAACAGATTCAACTCGCGCGATGATGGGTCTTTCGGCCTTCATCGAGATGTCCTCTCAGCGTTGGTAAAATACTGGGAGCACGATTACGACTGGAGAAAATGGGAGTCTACTTTCAACACTATTCCTCAGTTCAACATGGATGTTACCGATGACGACTCCAAAACATACAAGATTAACTTCTTCGCTCTTTTCTCTAAAAACCCATCTGCAATCCCCATTCTCTTCCTACACAGCTGGCCGGGCTCTGTTGTAGAGTATCTCCCGATCCTTCGCAAACTCCAATCTCAATACGATGCCGAGTCACTTCCTTATCACATCATTGTGCCTCACCATGTCGGGTTTCCATTTTCTGACGCACCGCCTCTCGACAAAGACTTTTCGCATCTCGACAATGCTCGCCTCATGTCGAAGATGATGCATGCGTTGGGCTTCGATAAGTCTGGCTATATTGCCTCAGGTGGTGACCTCGGCGGTTGGTCAGCGCCCGTCATTGCGAATCTCGATCCAGCGTGCAAACTCGTTCACATGAGTATGCTGAACGTTTCACAACCTGCTGGTGAAGATGTCGAGGCCGGTATTGAGGCAGGGCGGTATACTCCAGATGAGGTAGCAGCCTTTGCCAAAATGGCCGAATTTGCAAAGACAGGCACCGCATTCATCCAACTCGACGGAACGAAGCCGGCCAGTGCAGGGTATATCATCGGAAGCAACCCAGTGGCACTACTCGCCTGGATCGGGGACAAGATGATCAAGTGGTCTGACAAGACACCAGACAGAGATCTCATCATCACGAACCTGGCCCTCTATTGGTTCACGGGCTGCTTCCCAACGTCGGTATATATTCATCGCGTGGTCTTTGAGAACGTTGGGCTCATGATGAATGGTTGGAAAACCCTCAAAGTCCCACTAGGATATTCAGCATTCAAGCATGAGCTTGTCACTGCACCTGAAAGGTGGATCAAGCAAACAGACCAGGTAAGCTGGTATCGAATGCACGACAAAGGAGGTCATTTTGCTGCACTTGAAGAGCCAGAGGCTTTATGGAAAGATGTTGAGGATTTTATCGGGGAATTTTGGTCAAAGGCCATTTGAGTCCTTTTGGTGTAACCAGTTTTCGAAGGTTTGCATGTGTTTTCGTTGCATGGAAGGAAACATTGTAAGATGAGAATCCTTTACAATTGTGGAGTCACATAAGAGATTGAGAAGGCATAGGACGGTGTGCTCAACAACTAATGCTCCGGTCCAATAAGAACAAATTTTTACGCAATCATCGAGAGTATTCTGATATTGAGTGGATAGGATATAGTTGCTGCCCTAGAAACAAGAAAGTACCAGACAGCTCAATGTTGCAACAGTGATGCCGACGATGGTCTACCCTTCTGTGGTGTGATCTGATACTCGTCTTGACAAGTGCTTTCATGTCGCTGTGTCACACAATATCCACTACACGCACGCTACCATCCGCATACATGCTTTTCTGCAAATCGTTCGGTGGGGAGGTTGACTGGATAAAGAAGCATTCGATTCGTTCAAAATTGCCAGGTTGCTGCGTGCTTTCCCTCAAAGCGAGTGAGATAAGCTTGAAATTGTCACTCGGTCCATCTTGGACGAAGCTCATTCCGAGGCAGAGGACATCTGCGCCTGGAAGAACCTGGTCTGGACCAGGGCTATCCAAAAAGTAATCGGCATGGATATGGAACCGGCCGGTCGATGTCACGACATAGTGAACCACGGTCTCCTTCCCATGCCGAATCACGGTGTCTCGTTCAAGCACACCGTCTACTGTTAGGCTAGATATTCTCAAGAGCCCGTGAGCTATGCCGCCATAATTGTCCACACCTGATGGGGTTACTTGACAGTCCAGAACGGTGCTGTAGTGCTCATATAGGCCTCTGGAGTCTTCCTCGTAGTCAAGATCGGGATCCCAGAAAAACACTGCGTCCCAGACATCGACACTTGCGTCAACACTAGCCCAAGACCACGTCGGCGCGGTCCGGGGACTTGGTCTCGGGTTTTTGAGGGTAGTCCGTATGATCCAAAGCAGATCATCGTTAATGGTGTCTTTCCATATCCCTGCCAGATACGTAGATTTTCGCCTGGCAGCCATATGCTTTGCGAGACCTCCGATAGCTGGCAGACGGTCCGAAATCAAGGTGAGATCAAGCGCGGTATATGAGGTGATCAGGGTGCGCCATAACCTTGCAATAAAGTAAGAAGCTACATCCGCCCAGTCGTACCCGTCCATCTCGCTATCAAGTGCGGAAGAGTGCAAGAGTTTGGTGATTGCGATCGGGACAGAGTCGGACGACCCGTAGTACTGGATCCGGCCGCATTCACAGAACAGGTCAGAACGACACTCGAAGAATATCTCGTGGGGACCGAAATGAAGAACGCGGGTCGAAAGCATACGCTCCTGGTAAACCCAAGCTCTAGTAAGCAAAGGATGAAAAGAGGATGTAGGATCTCCTTGGTCTGCCGTTACAACGACGGTGACAACCTCAAGATGATGGTCCACTCTTCGACGGAAAAATAGTCAATAGGGATCACCTGATGTTGAAGACAAGGTAGTGTCTGACACCTCGAAGTCCGGTGTCTTGACAAATAGTCCACCATCGCCATCGTGTGATTGCGTGGCAGCAATGGTCAAGTAAGCGTTACTGTAAACATCGGCCATCTTTGCAGACTCCGCTTCCCAGTCAGACTTGCAATCTTGGATGATACACAAAGAGTCGATCCAAATGTACTTGATACCGAGCCTTCTGGTGAGTAAGACTGCGTCTCGAAAGGTGTTCGAAAGCTCCGTCAACCATATCCCTGTCTGGCGGAAGGGCAAGAGTCGCTTTTGTGCTGGTTATGATCTGTTTTCGGCCCCAGCAATGACTCAGGGCTGTATAATTTGCAAGCTGGCTCTTGGACTCAATGAGTCGGATGACGTCTTTATCGTGTTCAAGATATAACACCCGGCTCGGGAGCAATGGCTCTTCAGGAGACTCGCAAAACCCATGCGAGCTTCCCAGGCATATGTCAATCCATGACTTGATAGTGTCAAGAGCGGTATCCGAATCAGTGCCTTTTGATGTTCTGCGCATGGTAGGTATCGATTCCCAAGTGGCAGGAATGGGATCTGGAACATCTCCGTTAACGCAAGAAATCTAGTCATGGCATCTCGTTTGTGATGTACTTACCGCCCTCAAGCGAAAATATCTCGACTTCAAAACGACTCCCGTCATTCATGTTGAATCGGATATGTTTGTTAACGTCGGTTGCTTCTTCATCCTCGAAGTTAGCCGGCAACATATAGAAGAATTCTATTTCGCAGTGGATGATATTGAACTCGTGAACATTATGCTGTGCGAAGCAGCCTTGGCACCCGATCAAGAGGACCTTACAAGAGCGACAAGAGGCTGCAGAGCTTTGGAATTTGTCCCATAATAAGCCTGACACTTTATGGATCCGGTTGCCTTTCAAGGCTTTATCTCGAATATCCCCATGGCCGCGGAGATCGTTACAGATTGAGCAGACCATGATGAAGAGGACTGCTGGGCATATGCAACTGGAGGAATGTTCAAGGCTCCCAAGTAATCGGTTCCTACAGCTTGTTCAACATCATGTGACCATGCGACATTCTATTGGCCTCGTGGATGTTGTTGGCATGCGTATGGTCATGTGAAGGCTGACTGCATATTGTTTGTCACTCGCCTTACTGGGGTACGTAGACTGATTGATTCATTCCGAATATCTTCTCAAGTCTAGTAGCTTGATTAGAATCAAGGGCGTTTTTCAGCGACAGATTTTGATTATGGATGAAAGCTTATCACACGCGTTGCATGCCTTGATCTAAATAATATTCATGAACCTTTACACGAGAGAACGCCTGATCGCAATGCGGGAAAAATGACAATGGAAACAGTGGTAGTACACAACAGAAGGACTTCTGCCTAAAAGTCTCTGCTCTCTCCAATCTCACACACATCAAACACTCCCGTCGGAGGCAAGCCCTTCTTCTTCATAGCCTCCTGAAGCAGCTTGGGCGGCTCCAGAACCTCTTCCATAGTCAGAGCCCACGTTCCCCAATGAATACCCATGGCACGCTGACACCTGGTATCCTGGAAGATCTCGACGGAATCGAACGGGTTGGCGTGCATCCCCGAGAAGGCAACACGGGGGTAGTATGCGCCGATGGGGATCAGGCCGAGGTCAAACGGTCCTCGGAACTCGCCAATCTGCTTGAATTGCGGGCACATGGGAAGATGGGCGTACTTTGGGCCATAGTCGTCGACGTCGAGCGGAGTCCACGGCACGGCGCGGTATCCCGTGTCGCCGCCGAACCAGACCGACTTGCCGGCCGACTTGACGCCCCACGAGGCCCAAAGCGTCGTGTCCTTGTCAAAGGGCGTGCGGGCGGAGGTGTGCTGGCAGGGGAGGCAGGAGACCTGGGCGGTGATGGACTCGGGCGCCTCGTCAACGCCCTTGTCGATGTTGAGGGTGATTTCGGCGTCCTCCCACCAGTCGAGCTCCGTGACGTTCTTGAGGCCGGCGTTCTTGAACCAGGATTCCAGGCCGAGGCCGACGAAGAAGTGGGCCTTTGGGTTGTGCTTCTGGATAGTAAGGACGGACTCGTGGGAGAGGTGGTCGTAGTGGCTGTGGCTGATGAAGACGGCATCGACAAAGGGTATGTCGGCGAGGTCGCAGGGTTTGGGGGTGAAGCGTTTGGGACCCATGAAGGAGAAGGGCGAGCAGCGGTCCTCGAAGACGGGGTCGAAGAGGACGCGCAGGCCGGAGGGGAATTCTACGTAGTAACAGGCGTGGCCGAGCCATGTTGCGCGGAGCTTGTCTGAGGCTGTGCGGTTGGGCAGGAACTCTGGCTTCTTGACGGTCACGGTTGGCGGGGTGGTGTCTGGCCACTTGAGCTCGCCCGTTACTTGTGGCCTGCGATGGTGGTTAGATAAGATTGAGTGGAAGTGAGGCCGGCGCAGAGCAGGAATGGCCGGGCTGTGAGAATGAGAATGAGGTTGATACGTACCAGAGGACATGACGGACCATTTTGGAAAAGCCGATGCCATCACCGAAGGAAGGGTGGACGTTCTTGAAGCCGACTCTATTGCCGTTCTTCGTGACGTGGTGAGGCTTAGACGAGGCATCCTCGGGTGAGGGACCAAGATCTGGGATCTTGGTGACGGTGGTTGAATATGAGGCCATTGAGAGGGCGAGCACGGAGGCCGGTGTTGCTGAAGCTTTTTTAGTACCGGGACGTATGGGTGGTTGCTGGAAGAAAATGCGAAAGAATTGTCTGAACTTGGACATGGTTCATCAAAGGCTCCCTTTTCGAGAGGTGTGAGGGGATTCTGAGATATATAGAAAGATGGAGGTGGACTTTGCTACATATGCAGAATGTGACACAAAGAAGAGAAGAGGGAGGGATGGGAGTGGAAGAGACAAGCTCAAAGTGGTTGCAATCCGCGCTCGCCGGCCGGGGAATTAGACTAGACGGAACGGGATCCACTCGGCGTTAGCGAGAGCAATGAGCCCGGTCCGAGAGAGAAAAGACGAGGTAGGCAGTCAACGATACGTGTGCAGCACTCATTCAGTGTCATGCGGTGAGGCTTGGTTTTAATCTGCACGTCAGGTGTGCGATTGCGAGCCGCAAGAATGATTGCCTATGAGCCATCAGTCCAATGGCTCTAAAAAGTGAGCTGTTCTCCCTGTCGCAACGCGTCAAGCATCTGCGTGTCACTACCTTACCTCCAAGTCATTGTATGTAAGTCGGCGCATCTGATTGGCACGTCAGTGGAGATACCGGCTTTTAGGACAACCAAAGTCCCCTAACCCGCCCACGGGTGTCCCCGTCTCACTGGCAGTCCATTAGCCCATGCGAATAGAGCAGCCCTGAAAGTTCAAGCCACCGACTCCGGCTTCCAAAGTCCCATCTCCCATCACCCACCAATTTAAGGTACTTTGGCTGAGCTATTGCACTTGGCTTGCTTGGGTGCGAGTGCGGGGGTTGCTAAAGTCCGGCCGTATCACATTACTTGCTGCACCGCCCGGCGGCCCATCGCGGAGACGTGGTGGAATGATCCCTCCGTGGTGCGGGATACCGGGCCAACGACGCTAGTCCTTTTCGGTAACCCAACTCTCTGTTCACCATCAGAAGTCATCGTTTTTGAAAACGAAGACAATCAGGTACCCTAGGACAGGGGACCCAAGTACCCTAGAAGAGTTTAACATGCGGCCTTTGGCCAACTGGGGGCCGCCTCTTCATCCTTACACCACATTTACGAATTACGTTTATTGTTCACACATGGCAGAGTTCACGTAAGCATGCATGCAAAACAACAAGAGAAACGGTGACTGGAGCAAGCGAGCATGCGGCCACATGCCCATATCCTAAAAGGACCGCACTCGCATCTGACAACCTGACTTCGATGCGCCTCACATTCACCATCCATGAGGAAGGAAAACCACATCTTCATCTTTGGCAGCAATTTCGTATTCCTACATTGATATCCTCTAGACTGCAATGGAACGACCGCCCGTAGGAATCTCCAACAACATCTTCTACACCAAGGCCCACGAGAAACGACCATGACCAGCAAAGTCGAACACCCTCTTGTCCTGTTCCCACTCCTGCCTCTCCATGGCCCGTAAGTATTGTGTCTTAGCCCTGCGCATGTTGACCGGGTACTTGTATCTCATCGCCAGCTGCAGCCGCTCGCTCTCCTGCTCCTCCTCGCGGCGAGCCCAGTCTTTTTGGCGCCGAGTCCATCCTCGGTCAGAGTCGGCATAGTCTTCCGTTTCCTCAGTTTCTTTCCCTTCTTGCTCTTCGTTGTCGTCGTCCATCATTGTCTCCAGGCCGTCGATCTCATCTGGAAATTCCACTGCTCCTCTCACAAGCTCAAGGCTGAGGGGTCGCGGTTTGCGAAGAGACGAAAGCGACACGGTCCTTCCTAGGGGCTTGACTTCAGTCGTAGTGGTATTTGAAGTAGCTCCCGTTGTTTTTGCTGCTGTATTCTCCTCGCCACGGCCAATCCATCGCCGCAGTTTCGCTAGGTTATGCGGAATATGTTCAAACCGAAACGTCTTGATAACGAACTGGTTCCGAAGACAGTGCAGCTCAGCCTCGCAGTCCTGCACGAGACCAGCATACAGGACCCAAGTAGGTTTATGTCCGCAAGTTTTCGCCTCGCTCTCCATCTCATGGGCCTCTCGCAGCCAGCCCTGGATTTGTCGTGTTGCGTCCCGTGGTAAGCGGTGCTCCTGTACGAGGCGGTGGACATCCCGGTACTCTGCCCCTTCAAACCCGTCGCGCCATGTTTGCACCTTTTTGTCCAAGAGTGGGATGCTGCTTTGTCGGCATAGTGCGAGAATGGTTGATTCCCAAACTGCTGCGTCGGAATTTGCTGCTAGTTTATCTGGCGGGGCGTGTTGTTGGTGTTTTGTGGGTGTAAGGGAGTTCATGTTGGCTGCGGCTGGCATTTGGTTGTGATGTGGGGGTTTGAGAATAAGAGAGATGGTGCCCATGATCTCACACAGACAATATGCTATGAACAATCACCGCAGATTCTCGATTCGCTTTTTATATCCTGTCCATCAACCTTTGCGTCTCGAGGCGGAGATAGCTATGGAGTTGTGCCTCTCTCACGTAAAACTTTCCCCCGTGGAACTAGACGACTGGGCCCTCCCTTTTACCTGGACGTCCTCAGAAACGAACTCAAGCCACAAAGGTATAAACAAAGTCAAAAACAGCAAAACAAGTTCAAATTCATCGGGACTGTGCCGTCCCTGTCGCCGTCATTATCTGTCATCATGGTATCTGAGAAACAAGAACAAAAGCAAGCCCTGGACTAAAAGTTGCGCCCGAACGGAACGCTCATCAAGAAAACCAATAGACGATTCTCGCAAAGAAAACGTCCATCAAGCCACCCAAAGAACCTTGCAAAGCAGATCTCACATATTGATGTTCCGTGTGTCCTCGCCCATTTCCTCGCTGCCCAACTCTGCCTGGACCTCATCGGCCACGAAACCTTCGTAGTCGTCAAGGTTCTTTTGTACGTGAATCTTGAATTTGATGACATCGTTGAGCATGCGGTCAATCTCTGTATGCAGCTCTTCTCGTAGGGAGTTGGCACGAAGCACGAGCTGTTCGTATCTAAGGTAACGGTTAGTACCGACGCACCAGTAGCTGCGATTTGCTTGGACTTACTCGATGCTGGTGTTCATCTCACGTTGCTCCATCAGCTGTACCGACTCTGACAAAGTGGCTCGCATCTTGGCGAGCTCCTTTTCCATCTTTTCGATCTGGGCATCAGACGCCATCTTTTGGGTCGTTGTAACCTGTGATAGTTGTCAGTATGTGGTCTATGGACCGGGGCAAGCATACTGCGTACCTCCTTGGTCTTCTCATATTCTTCCTCAGCAGCGCGGACACGATGCTCCAAAGCCTCAACTTCGTTACGCTTGTCTTCGATTGCCTCCTTGATGCCATCAAGCAGATCATGATCCTTCATCATGTTGTCCATAGCAATGGTCCTTCTTTCAGAAATCTCTTTTCTGAGCGTGAGAAAACTGTTCTTGACCTGTCCGCGCAAGTCGAGGTTGAGAATGTGAGCCGCTTGGTAACCAGTAACAGGGTCAGCAAGCAATCGGTCGCTTGAAGAAACGCCGCCAGAGCCCTTCAGCTGGGAAGAGCTGAAGTCCGGTCCATCGTTGACCGTTACTTGCAATTCGTAATCTCTGCCGTTGGCGTTGACTGCGGTCGCAGGTATAAGCGCAATCTGATACGCCAAAGTGTTGTATCTGTCAACCATTCTCTCAAGTTCGTCCAGCTTCCTGCTTGCCTCCATCTCCTTTTCGGCGACCTTCTTCTTGACGTCCTCCAATCTTTGCGATGCCGACTCAATTCCCTTCTGGAGACGTTCCCGCTCAGCAGTCATGCGGTCGATATCCTGCATGCTGATGCCGAGATCGTCCACAGCTTTTTGCAGTCCTCGTCGCTCGTCCTCTACCTCTCTCAGCTCCTCATTGAGCTTATCGAGCTCTTCGTGAAGGACATTGATTCGGGTTTCGTACTTGTCAGATCTCTGCATGGCAAGCGCATTGTACTCCTCAAACTTGATCTTGTCCTCTTCCATGATCCTGAAGTGGTTGTCGAGTACCGCGGGATCCGGTGTGGACTTTTCAAGATCCTCAATTTCTTGCAGAAGTCGGCTGTTCTCTGCCTCGAGCATTTCAAGCTCGGAGGTGTACTTGGAGTTGGACTGCTCGAAAGCGGCAGCCATCCTTTCAATATGAGGGGCCAGTGCTCGGTTGGCATCGTCGTCGTCTGCGTCCTCGTCCATGGCAAGCCAATCCCTATATGCCTTGCTCAAAAAGTCGAAAATGATGCGATCGCCGGTGACGTCGATACCGCTTTCGAGACAAGCGTCGTCGTATCGGCTACAGGCGTAGCCATCCAGCATCTGCGCCAGCTGCATCATCCAATGCAACAATCCCAGGAATGTGCTCCAGTTTTGACCACCAACAGCGGCAATCTGACTCTTTGTGATGCTTCTCTCATACGGGTACCGCAGCTGCTTCAAGATGGGCGGTACTTCCTGGTCGATGTTCTTCTGGAACTTGTGGCTCGGGTCAATTCGCCTGTACAGCCATTGGAACATGAAGTTGAAATCCTTTTGCGTAGGAGACTTGATAATGTTTTGCGATAGGGTGTGCTTCATCTGCATTTCGAAGTTGTTTTGGGCGAGGTAATCCAGCAGCTCCTGTCCTATCCTAGCCTGGTATGATCTGTCTCGCAGCGGGCGGGGGTCTCGCGGTACGCCAGCAGGCTGTGGTGCTTGCTGAAAGAAACTCTGGTGGCTCATGGGTCCGGCGGTTGATGTTCTTGCACGGTACACACTGCTCCTCCTATCGTCTTGTGAAGATCGTCCTGGCGCAGGTGTTGGCGCGAAGGACTTGTCGCGCATCGATGATGTTCGCTTCACCGAGGACAGGCCAATGTCTGCCAGGTTCGTTCCGGATGATGAGCGCTGGAACATGGGCTGGCTAGGTCGCGATAATGCCAGAGATTGTCTGGAGCCGGACATGGATCGGCCATGGCTGTTCGAGTAAGGCGCGCCTGCGCCGACGCCTGAGGCGGATCGCTTCATCGCTGATGCGGGTTGAGGTAGGCCAGTGTTGTAGTTGATGCCTCCTAATGTCTGCACAAGATGTTATTAAGGACGAACCTCTTGAGGTCATGGGATCGCGGCAGCCTGGTGTTGAGGAAGATGCTGACTTCTCTTGGTCTGCGCACACTCCACAGGCCGGTGTCTTGCGACATGGTCGGAGGGAGCTGAACGATGGTAGTTCTGGTGCCAAATCGCAGTCGACGGACTTGCGAAAAGACTTGCGGTGCAGGTGTCAACAATTGCGAGTCGCGGGGATGGGAGCAGTTCGTTGCGCGACGAATTCAAGTAAAGATGTATGGTTTGCGCGCGCGTGCATGCGTCGTGAATAAGGAGGTGCAAGTGGGATGGCAGATCGGGTAGCAGATGCAAAAGTGTTGTTGCTCTGGAGCAAGTAAACAAATTGTTCTGCCCCTCGTTTATTGGCTGCGCACTGCCCCTCTCAAACAATGGGCGATGGGTCCCCGGCTGCCACGGTCTCGGTGATGCCCAACACGTGACGGTGAGCGAAGGACATCCGGACGGTACTTGCTCGGCATTTCTCCGCATTAGGTAATCGCTCCAGACATTTCCCCAGCCGCTGCTCTACGCCGAAGCCTCGGCTCAGGATCCGGCCACCCATTATTGCACGGAATCAGGTCGCGAAGGGCCCTCTGTCATTCCTTCCAACTGCACATGCCTTTTACCTTCGCCTCCATTATCGCGAAGCGTTTTCTTCATTGAAGAAGTTCGCGGTGAGATTGACAAGGCGACACATTGAACATGGCGATACGAGAGGATATCGTCGCATCAGCGGTATGGTGACCCCAATCCCAATGTCCAGTGACGGCCTGCTAACTTGTAGATAGACGCAGTGTTAGTACCAACGAACCGATGCATCGCGCGCGAGACTATACTGACTGGACTGTAGTTCTGCAAGACCCCAGCGTTGCAAGCTCATCCATCGAGAGCCGCATGTCTTTCCTTAGAACTAAGAACCTGACCCAAGAAGAAATCGATGCCGCTCTGTCAAGAGTCGGCGTACAAGCTGCGCCGGGCCCGATGCCGATCGCTCAGCAGCAGCAGCAGCAGCAACAGCCACAACAATACTACCAGCCAGCATATCCTCCTCAGTATCAGGCATGGCAACCTCCGCCGCCGCCTCCTAAGAGGGACTGGAGAGACTGGTTCATCATGGCAACAGTCGTTGGTGGTTTCAGCTACGGCGCATACACTCTGGCCAAGGTACGGACTTCCACACCTTTGGTTCTGCGGATGTAAATGACTAATAAGGTCTAGCGGTACGTGGTTCCTCTGATTGCGCCGCCGACACCCGAGAAGCTCGAACAGGATAAGAAATCGATTGAGGAGCAGTTTGACAAGGCATTCGGACTTGTGGAGCAGCTGGCCAAGGACACAGAGGAACTCAAGGCTACGGAGCAAAAACGGACTGAAAAGCTGGACACGGCCCTGGAGGACATTGAAAAGATTATGACAGAGCTGAGGAACGCCAACCAGCGACGGGAACTCGAGACACAGCGCGTCAAGGACGACGTGCAGATCCTCAAGGATTCCATCCCCAAAGCCATGAACACCCAGAAAGACCTCACCGACTCGAGACTGAAGGAGGTCAACACCGAACTCACTAGCCTCAAGACCCTGATCACACAACGCATGACCGCTGCGTCATCATCTACACCCGCCAACGGTCTGCGAACTGGTGCGACCGCTACGCCCGCTCCTCCTGCAAGCAGCACGGAGGCCGCTGCCAGCACCGAGACTCCCAAGCCCGCCAGCACGCCGACGTTCAACCGCCCTTCTCCGTTCAGCGGTGCCACGGGCGCAAAGGCCTCAATTCCGGCATGGCAGATGGCCATGGCTAACAAGGACTCTGCTGCCACACCGGCAGCAACAAACGGAACCACGTCCGACAGCAACTCCCAGCAGCAGGCATCCGCTTCCTCATAATTGGGCTAAAAAGGAAACACACTGTACAGTATGCATCTATGATTTCATTGCGTCATGAACAGGAGAGCGACGGGTATAATTGCGCGTGTGGAACTTTTTTGGAAAAGAAACGCTTGTACAGAGTAGTAAAGGTAGATATAAGCCTTGAAGCTATGTACGTGTACGCGGCATAAAACATCCGAAAGCGACTTTGTGTGTGACAGTTTCCCACGTGCAAGAGCCAGAAGCCCAGCCCAACCCCGGACCGCAGCTCCAGGGTTCAGAGGCGTTGTGAACGTGTGAGGCTGGCCAGGGTTCCATTGACGTGTTTTACATGGGCCGGTCGCTATCTCGGGTGTTGCCATAGTTGTCCCGTAAGCGAGGAGGGTCTCGCGGGGGTGAAAAGGTTCGTTGGCGAGTGTAGGAGTGCGTGTCAACGTCTCACCGCGAAATAAGCCCGTCTCATTCACCTTTAGTACCTTTATTTATTGCTAGATGTGAGGCGTTCATAGATGAACCAGGCTGTCACGCAGTCAGTTTCAAGGGCCGATTACGACAGACTAATTTTCAATGTGCAGTTTGAGAGGATCCGCATAGATGTCGGCCAGGCAGAGAATAAAGAGGGCGTGAGTATTGAGAGAGACTGTATGGAAAGCGAGGTAGGTACAAATAGCTATAAAACGCAGGTATCTGGCGATCTTCGCAAGCTCGACTGAAATGGGGTGGCGTCGCCCGATAGTGTTGCGGGAGCGCGCCTGAACGCCGGGGGCCCACTGCCGGAGCCGTAGGATTGGGTGCATTTCTTCTTCCATCTAAGCGACGTTAATCATCCGAGAGGGGGGCTAGAAAACTAAAAACGGAGCATGAGAGCATGGGGGTTTGGTGTCTTGTGTGGGACGTGGTGTCTCTTTTCTTTCGTGAGTCGCGCTTGATTCAGCAACGGGCGCAGATCTCACTCTAATAGTGTACCACGTTGGAGCTTTACGCTCCTTGCTTCAACCCACAGACGATGGAGTCCATTGTTTGAGAAGCAGAGTGAAGAATGCAGGATTAGGATGAGGGGTGATGGATCGTTGAGTCGAATACCTATCTGAACTTTTGGAGGGTGGATAAGCATCTCTTAGTCTAAATTGCCAGCCACCTCGAAACATGGCGGAATGCTACGAGCAGTAGCTTTGTGCAAGCCTTGAGGTGGCTTCAAAGCGCTCTGTAAGTAAGGTAAGTATCAGTTGTCAACCACATGGTGGAGGCCTTCGGAGCAAATGTCAAAGAGTGTTTTGATGTCAAACACTGACACATTCGTCTTTGCCCTCCACCATCTAAGTAAATATCTGAACATGAAGGCAAAAAGAAAGGAAGAAGAAAATCGCCCAGCTTTGGTGCGAAACGTATGCCCCGCGACATCTAGTCAGGAATACGGAGCAAGATAGAACCGTAAAGAGCACTGGAGCGGGCCGAAGAACAAGCAACGAACATGTTCCACCCTTTCCCGCAACAATTTCCTCTTTTGACCGTCCTTGCGGAGCGAATACCAGCAACCCCCCCGGGAGCCACCGCTGTTGATGAAGCAAAAGCCAACAACCCTCATCTTTCTTGCGGCTTGCCGACCGTCTGGTCTTTTGACTCCTTTCCAGCAACGGTAATACTCCAAACATGACGCCTGCCAGGCTCATCCCCGCCACTGCATCTGCCATCTCAATCAATCGTCTCCCTTCCCCCGATGGACGGGCTGAAGCCTAAGGTAGCCGTGTGCTGCTCAGAAGTTAATACCAAGTAGTCGTCGATTCAGACTACTTTCTCATCAACTGTCCACTCACGGCTTCTGGAACCCTTCGCATTGCGCTGGGCCTCCTCGTGAGTGTCGTCCTGCGCGCCACTCATATTCAATCTTGGCCCTCCTTCGGCCCCTCGGCCTCTTCTGACCCTCCACTCCATCCATCATCGCTGCTGGAATTGCTCCGAAACCCCAATGGATTAAGAATTTGGAGTGACCATGAGGATGTTCCCCAATTTGGAGAACTACCCTCTCTACGGATACAACACCATTAGTAGCCTTTAGCACATGATGCAAGGGTTAAAGCGGGAAGCTAACGGCGAGGGTAAAACTTGCCTTAGACCGCTGCGCATTGGTTTGATGGCCACAAGCGATTAGTCGAGGGAAAATCCCATCAACCGAGGCACCTTTTGGGGTTAACCGACATGTCATCGATTTGTCTGCCATTCACCTGAGGTAGGCAATTCGCCTTAGTCGCCAACGAAGCATCCCCTGCCTCGTTGGCTTTCTTTTAATTATCCAATACTCTTTTTAGTTTCTTACTTTGGCTCATGTCGCGGACACTTGTGGGCTACCATCCAGTCACCGTTACATTGACATTTGTTTTCTTCTCCATTCTGGTTCTTCCTATCCTCCTTGTGCCGTGGCAGAGTGCAAACACGTTCCCGCTTTCCCCACAACAGCAGCTATTCCCATCCACACTACGCACACGCACACACTCCACGGCAAGCTTCCTCAGCTTACCCTGTCTTCTCTTCGACCTTGGTACCCTGCTCCTAGAGGCTAGATACATCCCCTACCCAAGGGACCGCCGATTCATACGGTGAGGTGTGCGTGTGAGTCTGAGTGGCTCCGAATTTGATGCCCAGGGGTGTCCCGCAACCAATTCCCTCCTCATCTGAACATCCTGTCGACCCCTAGCCCTTGACCGTTGCTACCTTCTATCGACAGATTGCAGCCTTCTTTTGCTGCGTAGCGTGTGTTGTTCCTGGTGTTTCAACCACGTCAGGCATAGTAGCCATCTTGGCCTCGACCCTTCACTTGCTTCTTCTTCTCTTATATATCCCTTGACTAGGCCGTCGCCTATCTTCCCTTCCCCTCCCCTTTTTAGCCATGTCCCGCTCATCCTTCGACTATCCGAATCCTCTCAATATGGACCCTGCCCAGTTCAAGTTGCTGTTGTCGTTGCTGCCCAAGGTGCCCTTGATAACACGGGTAGCACTGCTCCATGTTCTACACTTGTCAAAGTCGTCTCAGTACCTAGATCTGCGGAGCGATCTCATCATCTCGGTGCTACGTTCATACCTTCAGCCGGCCAAGTTGCGCTCCATCACGTCTACACAGAAGCTCGCCAACCGTGATAGTGGCGTCAAGGGGAGAATATGGGTTGCCACATATGCCAGCCCCGTACCGCCAGAAACCGACGTGCGCGACGCCATCATCGGGGTCATACAGTCAACCAGGGCCCCGGATACGCCAGAACTCAAGCTGCGATTGCCGGATATCGTGCCAGTGGAGGCCGAGTGGACGGGCTACCGTGCCGGTGCGACGGAAGAGGAGCGACCACCCGCGATCGGGGAGAAGGAAAAGTTTGAAAAGCTACAGAAAGAAGTCACCAGCCCACTCACGGTGTTATATCTTCACGGAGGAGCGTACTATCTCTGCGACCCGGCAACCCACCGACCAGCTACGAAGAAGATTGCCAAGTTGACCGGAGGCCGTGTGTACTCGGTGCGGTATCGCTTGGCTCCGCAGAACCCCTTCCCGTCGGCTCTGCTAGACGCCTTGGTTTCCTATTTGACTCTGCTATACCCGCCACCCGATGCCTACCACCAAGCCGTCGACCCGAAGCACATCGTAGTTGCCGGAGACAGGTGAGAAAGTCTCAAGCATGAGGATATCAAAGAGGAGATTTTGCTTACCAAAAGTCTATAGTGCGGGAGGCAACTTGAGTCTATCTCTACTACAACTCCTCCTCGAGCTGCACAGACAAAACCGAAAGATTCGCTGGCTGGGCGAGGAAAGAGAAATCCCCTTACCCGCGGGACTCGCACTCAACTCACCGTGGATGGACATCACACAAAGCTCGCCCAGCTGGGACGCCAACGGAGAATTCGACTACCTGCCCACAGGCGAAGTCTACGCAAAATACAACCCGCCCCCCTGCGAAGCCTGGCCTGCGAAACCGCCCCGGACAAACATGTACGCCGACGACGACCTCCTCGCGCACCCCCTGGTGACGCTCCTGATGAGCCGCAGCTGGGCGGGCGCGCCGCCCGTGTACATTTGCACGGGGTGGGAGCTGCTGGCGGACGAGGACAAGTACATGGCGCGCAAGCTGCACCAGGACGGCGTGCCCGTGGTCTTTGAGGAGTACGAGGGGATGCCGCACTGCTTCGCGCTGATCCTGACAAAGATACCCAACGCGAGGCGGTGCTTTGAGGGGTGGACCAACTTTATGAAGAGGGCCGTCACGAGCCCAGAGACGATTGATTCCAGGGCGACCTCGATCAAGTCCAAGACGCTGCAGGAGGAGGTTCTCGACTTTGAGTCGTTGAGTGCCGTGAGCGCGGAGGACGTGCAGAAGAGGGTTCTCGCCAAGAAGGAGACAACGTTGGCGGCTGCGCCAGAGACTGCAGCGAAACTCTAGATCCCACCGGCAAGAAAGGTGTGGCAGTCTGGCAGATTCGCATCGTCGAAGGCTGATGATGAGCTTTACGGGTTTTCCATGAAAGGAGAGAGAGAGAGATCACTAATGATTTTTTTTGCATATTCAACATCAGACCATGTACTTATTTAAACGCCTCACGAAAAAAGGAATGATTATATGGCGAGCAATTGCACAAAGAAAACAAGATAGCTTCGCAGCACAGAAAATAGGACTCGAGTGTCCTTACCCTCGGTGCTGGGATCATCCCGTTCAACAGGCAGCGGACGGATCTCTTCAGCCAAGAAGATTATTCTTGTGCGCCCCCTTTCTAGAGCTTCCAACATCACATGTGAGGGAGGCTAGCGAAACGTGTATCACGAGTACGGAGGTTTCTGTGCGCTGATCCACGCGTTCGTGACAATTGACGAGTTGGGAAATGCTCGGGCCGTGTTGCAGTGCAGCAAGGTGAGATGTTGGATTTGGTTAAGATCTCACCTCGCACACCATGTGTGTTTGCTGCATCGGCAACGGGCCGCAGCTCGCCGTGTCACCTTTCACCTTGATGAAAACTCTCCGAGAATCCAGGGGCTCCCGCGTCTAGTGACACTGGAGGCTCGTTCAATCACTGTCACGGACTCAGAACCCACGACTGGGGGGTTATAGATCTCAGATTCATCCCTCAGAAAGAAGAGGTTGAAGGTGGCATCAATGGCTGAGGCTGGAACTACCCCTGCACCGAAGAGCTCCGGGTAAGGTAGCACCCCCTGTCAGAACCTTGATTAAGTACATGCGGGTGAGCTAAGGCACCTACAGCCCCGAAAACGTGGCGCTGCGGCGCCGGCGCAACGTCTGGAAAAATCTCACCTCACATCCGAAATCTCATTGACGTAGCGCTCACTCACATTTCATTCTCACCCTCACCCTCGTGTTGGATGTGAGCACACAGAGATCTCACCAAGATCTCACAAAACAAGCGATCCGGAAGGGCAAGATAGCTTAGGGCGAATAATCCATACAGGGGACAGGCACGACTAATAACGACTTCACGATGGAACGCCACAAGAAGACCGTCTCCAAGATCGCCGCCGCGGTGCGGTCCTTCTTCGACCGCAAGGAGCCCTACCGCATCTTCCACGGCTCGACAAACAGCACCCGCCCCTTCCGCCGCGACCGCGTCGTCGACATCTCGGCCCTTGGCAGCGTCCTCGAGGTCAACAAGGCCCGCCGCACCGCCCTCGTCGAGCCAAACGTCCCCATGGACCGCCTCGTCGAGGGCACCCTCCGCCACGGCCTCATCCCCCCCGTCGTCATGGAATTCCCCGGCATTACCGCCGGCGGCGGCTACGCGGGTACCGCGGGCGAGTCCTCGAGCTTCAAGCACGGCTTCTTCGACGATACCATCAACGAGGTCGAGATGGTCCTCGCCGACGGCCAGGTCGTCCGCGCCAACCGCGACAACGAGCGCGCCGACCTGTTCCGCGGCGCCGCGGGAGCCGTCGGCACCCTCGGCGTCACCACCATGATTGAGCTGCAGCTCGTCGAGGCCAAGAAGTACGTAAAGACGACGTACCACCGCACCCACAGCGTCGCCGAGGCTGTCGAGACCGTCCAGGCCGAGACGCTCAAGGCCGAAAACGACTACGTTGACGGCATCCTCTTCTCCAAAGACCACGGCGTCGTCATCACCGGCAAGCTGACGGACGAGATCCCCGAGGACCGCAAGCCGCAGACCTTCAGCGGCGCCTGGGACCCCTGGTTCTACCTGCACGTCAAAGACCGCACCCTCACCGCCGGCTCCGCCAACAGCGAGGCGACGACGATGGCGATAACATCCTCATCCGCCGTGGTTGACTACGTGCCCCTGGCCGAGTACCTCTTCCGCTACGACCGCGCCGGCTTCTGGGTCGGCGCCGCCGCCTTCGACTACTTCAAGTACGTCCCCTTTACGCGCTTCACCCGCTGGTTCCTCGACGATTTCCTGCACACGCGTATGCTCTACCGCGCTCTCCACGGCAGCGGCGAGTCGGCCCGCTTCGTTGTCCAGGACCTCGCCCTCCCCTACAAGAACGCCGAGCGCTTCGTCGACTACACGGCCGAGAACTTTGGCATCTGGCCCCTCTGGCTCTGTCCTCTGAAGCAGACCGCTCCGCCCACGTTCCACCCGCACACGGGCGAGGTCGAGACCTTACCCGCCGCTGAGGGTAGCAGCAGCGGTAGCACGGTAACAGCCCCCAAGCCGATGCTTAACATCGGCCTCTGGGGCTGGGGTCCCTCGGACCCGGCCGAATTCGTCACCAAGAACCGCGCCCTCGAGCACAAGCTCCGCGAGCTGGGCGGCATGAAGTGGCTATACGCGCACACGTACTACACCGAAGACGAGTTCTGGCAGGCCTACAACAACAAGAGCTGGTACGAGGCCCTGCGCGAAAAGTACAACGCCACGACGCTGCCGACCGTGTACAACAAGGTCAAGGTCGACGTCGAGGCCCGCAAGGGCGAGAAGAAGGGCTGGCGCGACGTCGTAAAGTCCAAGCCGCCCATTGGCGGTCTGTATGGTATCTACAAGGCTATCCAGAGCAAGGATTACCATTTGCACCGCCGGGCCGAGTGGAAGTGGAAGGGTGACAAATGAAGAGAAGTGGAAATGTACGAGTAAGAAGGTGAGGCCGCATCATGTAATGGATGTGACTAGTAATTCTCATGTCGGGCGTAGATCACGTTGGAAACGGCCGCGTATATTACCCATAGATTGCCATGCGTGGCATGTATTAGTAGTGTAGCACCATTAGCATCACAGCCAACCGAAAAAGGGGGCCTTTGGCATTTTGGCATAGAGACAAGATCATAAAAACGAACTTTTGATATTTACCATCAGGACTTGAGCCACATGAGAATCGGAGAGTGATGTGGCATGATTCAATTCATTCGTCTATTCTTCCAGCTTCATTCGTCCAAAGGGACGCTCAAATACGGCTATCTGGCCCGGTATATACGATGCCCCCATTGCGAGGTGCATTCCAAGCGCCGATTCCTCTCTCACGACAGAATCTCCGTCTGTCGTGGCCGGCGGCGTCTCTGTATTTCCTCCTCTGATTAAACTACGTAATGCTGGCCATGCTCCTTCAGTTATCATGATGTCGCAAGATCTATGCAGCCACCTCTATTTGTTTCGCAATTTCAAGATCAAAAAAGTCATTTTCGGTTTCATGCCTTGACGCTGTAGGAACGCTGGAACTTGTCGTTGACCTTCTCCAGGTAGTATGTACCGGGGGTGATGGTGGAGGCGTCACCCTTGGGGGTGAAGTCCTTCTGCAGGTGAGCCTGGTGGCGGAGGTCGCAGAACTGGAGAGTTATTGTCAGCAAACTTTCACTTGGAGACATTGTATTAGGGGAAGAAATTGCTTACAGCCTCGTAGGTCTCGGGGGCAAGCTTGGTGCGGGCCTCGAGTCTGGCGGGAATGTCGAGAACCTTGGCGAGAGGAGTGACGTCTCCGTTGATGCGGAAAGACAGGAAGCTGGCAGCCAGACCGGAGCCGTAGCTGAAAACACCAACGCGCTTGTCCTTGAGAGTGGCAGCGTCCACGTAGGAGAGCAAACTGGCAATACCGCCCCAAACGGAACCGCAGTACATGTTGCCGAGGAGAGTGGCGACCTGGGCACCGGGAGCGACTCTCTCCTGGTACTTCTTCTTGGTGAGACCCATGAAGGTCTTCTCGACGACCTTGTCGGTCAACGACTTTTCGTAGTCCATGTCGCGGAGCTCGGGGGCGACCTCGGCGAAGACGGGTGAGTCGGCATCGGCGAGGTAGTCGTGGTAAAGCAGGCGCGCGTACGACTTGGCGACGAGCTTGCAGTTGGGGGCGTGGAAGGAGAAGTAGTCGAATCTGTCAAGGCTGGTTTTGGGGATCTTGGACTCTCCGTTGGTGGCTCCGTTGCCGTTGGCGTGGCCGTTGGCAGCCTTGGAGAGCTTGGCCTCACGCTTGTTGTACTCGCGGTAAGCGGCATCCAGAGCCTTGGTGTAGCAGGTCAAAGAGTAGTGACCATCGACGTAGGGGTACTCGCTGGTGAGGTCGGGCTTGTAGAAATCGTAAACGTGGGACATGTAGGTACCACGCAGACCAGGCTCCAGAACAACGGGAGCGTTGGGGCCAACAAGCATGGCGACTGCGCCAGCGCCTCCAGTGGGGCGGGCGTTACCCTTAGCGTAGAGGGCAATGTCACCAGCGACGACAATGGCATCACGGCCATCCCAGGCGGAAGACTCGATCCAGTTGACGGAGTTAAGGAAGGCGTTGGTACCTCCGTAGCAGGCGTTGACGGTGTCGACGCCCTCAATGTTGGTGTTTTCGCCGAAGAGCTGCATGAGCACAGTCTTAACGGACTTGGACTTGTCCAGGAGAGTCTCAGTGCCGACTTCGAGGCGACCAATGGAGTTGGTGTCAATGTTGTACTTCTTGATCAGGTTGGAGGTGACGGTCAAAGCGAAGGAGTAGATGTCTACAAAAAGCGCGACAGATTAGAGCAAGCACCAGATTTGGGGAGAAGCAGACGGAGCTCACCCTCGCGGTCGTCGCAGAAGGCCATCTTGGTCTGGCCAAGACCGATGGTGTACTTGCCGGCGCTGACGCCATCGAAAGTCTCAAGCTCGGTTTGCTCGACATACTAGACGACGGGAAGCAAACAGGTCAGTACAATGCTCTCAGAATCTTGTGAGAGCTTCAATAAGGAGCGGCTTTTTGACCCGCCCGAGCCTGGGGTGGGAGATTGAGGAGGGGTAATTCTGGCAGTGCTGGCGTGTGGATTGCGATTTCGGCGCTGAGGGGCAGAGCGCGGATTTTTTTTTTTTTTTTCTCTCCCCTTTGGCTCTCCCTCTTCCAGCAATTTGGCGGTGGTGGCGCAGAGAAAAAAGCATGGTGAGACCAACCTGGTTGGGGAAGTAAATTTCGATGGCCTTGATGCCAATGTTCTCAGGTCTGGAAGCCATTTTGGGCGGCGCGATCGAACAGACTGTGATTTTGGGAGAATTGAAGTCTACGAGAAGATTGAAGAGTTAGCCAGAAAGACCTATTTTTTAACTCCCAAACACCATTCACCGCCGTTTCAACGCGCCAGGCAAACAGGTCGCCAAAGGTGCCCAACGTGCAGAATCAGGACAAGGATGTTCCAGCACCAAGGAGGGGACGGGAAGAAGAGGGGGAGGGGCAGTGAACTCGGGCCCAACGCACCTATTGGTAGAGGGTGGTCGTCTTTCCGTGAAAGTCCAAAGTGTGTGTTGGAGAGAGTTTGAGAGGATGAAGAGGGCGAGGAAGGAAGAGTAGGTGGGAGTAAGAAGAAGAGGAGGAGGAGGGAGTAAGAAGAAGAGGAGGAGGAGGGAGGAAGCTACGAATGAGAAGTAATCAGGAGAGGGAAGCAGTGGGTAAAAAGATGTTGGGACGGAGACGAACGGGAGGCAGCAGCAGCAGTAACAGTAAGAAGAGGGTCCAGAGGTCGAGGTGGTGCCGTGGTGGAAGGGGCGTTTATCTTTTTTTTTTTTAATTCTCTTGTTCTGTTTATTCCCACAGCTCTGCAGATGATAGGAGCAGACTAACGGCGGCATAGGCAAAAAAGGTACGGGGGAGTGATTTAATATTAAATCCCCACTGACGTCGCAACACACCATACAGCCAGACCATTGACCAAGGGCGAAAACGAGCTAGGTACCCGTTGAAGGGTGGGATCATAGTCATACTCGTACACCACAGGTCCATGGTCCATGGTCCATGGAGGGGATGGATGTACACCCGACTACTTCTTAGACGTGGGATGGGAGAGGACTGGTGCTACGAGTACAAGTTCTGGTCGGAACTGCTGCGACTGCGACTGGAACTGGAAATGGACGCGCATCAACAAGTAGCAACATCCCAGGCCAAGTATAGCTGTCCGCTGTCCGCTGTCCGGCGTCTACCTCGGACAGGAAAGACCACTCACTCACTCTCCCGGGCTGCGTTACCTTTCCCTTGGACAGTAACAGTAACGAGATACCCGAAACCCCCGATAGGAGAGAGCCCAGGAACGAACACCGGCGGTGGCGGCGCAGACTGGCAGTGTGCGACTTGTGTGACAACCGGTGGCTTGGTTGGGGAAGAGGGAGTGTGCGGACTGCGCGCGCAGTCAATTCGGCGCAATGCCCAGCCCGATCCAGGTTTCCGAGGATTCTCCCTCTAAATGAGCACATGTATCCGTACTCAGTTTCGCTGCGTGCTGATCTGTCTGTATAACTCTTCAATAGGTACCGGGTCATCTGCTCTGCAGTATTCTCGACTAGATAATGTAATGATGCTGCCGTATTCCGAATAATTAAGATTGGAAGCCAGGACCCTTGGAGACAAGGTACTGCTATCGTAATCATGCTTATCTGGCGCTGCGCCAAGGACACTTCCTCTTCTTGCCTCGACTGTGAACTCGGCGCATTCGCAAACTTGGCGTGTATCTCTTGACCTCGGTCTGCACTAGCACACGTTTGCCTTGGCGTTGAAGAATTGTCTTGTTTGTTCCAGCAGCGGCATGACGAGGTGTAGCAAACGTTCTCTGTAGGTAAGCTAAGGTAACTAGCAGTTAGCTACATACCTAGGTGAGGCGAGAGATCAACGACATATCGCGTCAGGGAAATTGAGACACCCGACAACCCTGAAGAGCCAGTTGGATGGTCTGCTGGGCCTAGTGAGCCGGCTGCCATGTTTTCTAGCTCGCCAAAGATATCTGGTCGATATTGTATTGCTTGAGCTGAAGCCTCACACAGCAAGAAATATCAACATAACGGAAGAACAGAGGACCCCGGTAGGCCTGGTAAAGTAGATAAGGTTGCGACGGACCCTGCGTCCGGAATGCAGTGAGGTCGTACAAGCACAATGCCAGACTGACAAGAAACATGCAGGAAGAAACACACTCGTGGTGCTGCTGCTGGGATCGAGTTGGAGGGGGACGGTGCTCTGCTGTGTGGGTGGGCAGGTATCTCACCATCTCACCTTCCGTTGTGTGCCCGGTGAGAAGGAAGCAAATCTTACTTACGGTACGGGGTACCTAAGGTACCATCACCACCAAAAGATGGGAAATGGGTTTCCCAGGCCCCCCTCACCCCCTCCATCCATCGGTACGTACCTGCCTGGACATTTTCGCATCGCATCCCGTCGTCTTCGCCCACCTCATTCGGAACGTTTGGTGGGGTCCAGGTACAGTCAAGCGGGGCCGAAAGCCAAAAGGTACCTTATCAATCTGCCCCTCCATCAAAGGTACCATTTTGATGGATACTTTCAAGAGGCAAGTTCGACTTGCGACAAGTACCCAGCTGTACCTTGCTGGGCTCTCACACACTTTTCTCCATCGGAGCGATGAAATTTTCGAACAGACGAAAAGAGTCTTGCGTCCTGCTTCTCTTCTCAGCTTTGGCTTAGAGCTGGATCGCTACCTGGCCAAAGCAAGACGGACGGCATCCCGGAATGAAGCGTTTGATGCCTGTCTATCCGACTGTCGCGGCATCAGCCTTGCATGACGGATAGCTCCCTTATTGCAAGCAAAGTGAGTATCTGTAAAGGCAACCAAGGCTTTCTCAAGATAGCTCAAGCTCGTTTGCACTGAGACATGGAAACGGCTCAACGTGGTGAGAGACTTTTTCCCCCTCCAGCCCCGCGGTTACCCCCTTCCGTACCTTGGCGTCGCCTGTCTCAAGTACGGAGGTATCTGACGTAAAGCATATGAAGCGACAAGCAGGTTGGCAGGCGTCAGGAGTCTCAGGACACGGAGAGATGCAGAGATCGAGGTACTTGATAACATGGCAGGCCTTGTACTTTGCTTCTAGTGCTCCGAAAATGCTTCGTGTTCCATATATTGAGGATCCACTGGACCGGGCCGCATACGCTTCTTGAGGCCAGCAACGCGGCAATTAGAAGTATGCTGCATGCCATGGCAGGCAGAAGAAGTTCAAGGGTCGAATAAGCTGAACAGGCGGTACTTCGTACAAGCCAGCCATCCGAGGAGCGCAACCGGCAGCCTTGAGGCGCTTATTCGTTATTCCGCTCGTGATTTTGGTTATCGAAGCAGGGAATTCAATCCAAGTTCAGGGAACCAGTTGTCAAACAGCAACTCAAGCTCGAACGACGACAAGACTCATTCGTTAGGTGTCAGTTCGAAGTTCCTCAGGTAAAAAGACCCCGTGCAACTCTAGCGGTTTCTCGTCGAGGAAGGAAAGTTTTGGTAGGGCAGGGCATCTTACGTCAGGGCAATATTCGCTCGCCTCTGCCCCTCATCTCTCACTCTGTCACGCAAAGTGAATCGCATGACCCCGCCAGTTGCGGAAAGATTGCGGATACTCTTGGGCGCTTTTCTGCAACGACGGCAGCTGCAGAGAAGAATTCTTTCACTCGGCGGCATATACTGCGCAGTAAGTGCGCCTGGCTTCTCAGGGTTCCGAATTTCGCCAGGGCGCCATCCAGGATGAGACGCTGCGCTTGCCCCGAGGCGTGCATCCAGAACTGCAGCTGATTTGGTCAAGTCCTTATTTGGATTAGCGCCTTCTGCTCGTTGACGATTCATCGTTTGATAGCTCCATCTTCAACAACACCACGGCCATCTCTGGCGTTAACTCGCTAAGCTTGTTCAGTCTAGCTTGATGCAAAACGGCCATGCATCCGAATATTGACATTTCCAATTTGCTTTCCGCCGACAGGAACTTGCCTAGTCGTACTACCAGTACTATTCACCGAGCAGCTAGAGCGAGCATAGGCACAGGCATGGAAGAGTCTTCATGGGAACACAAAAAGGCACAGGCACATGCGTCTGACTGCAGAACTGCAAGGGGAGCAAGCAGCTTACCGCCGTGCTAGGGTAGCGGAAGACTAAGGGTGACAGGCAGGCCAGTCTCCAAGCCACCGCATCGCGGAAACTCCAAACACAACTACGAGGCTTCATTCTCACCACCATAACCCCGTGTCATTGGTGATGGTGTTCGTGTCCATCGTGGCTGAGTCTCCCGTTCTCGCCCTACCGACGTTGGGGAGCAGCTGAAAGGCCTGGTCGGAGAGGTCAGAGACAAGCAAACATACTAAATAAGATCCGCAAACACTTCGTTCATGCCGCATGTGCGCATCTCGTCAGCGACAAGCATGTCGACATTTGGATCCTGCACGACTGGACAGTTTCGCCTCGCCAGACGTACATCGATACGTAAGGAGAAAGAGGGAATAAAAAAGAGACGTGAGACCTTTCCTGGGGATCACATCCTTGCAGCCCATCTCTCTCCCACCAACCCCATACTCTGAACTCCGACTGAGTGACTGGCCGTTGCTACTCCGTAGATCGCCTACGACTCTAGGTATGGTGTGGCATCCCACGCTTTCGACCTCGCATCGCCGCGTCGGTCCTCCGAACGATGGCCCCTCCCGGCGGATATCCACAATGGGACCGCCCCGCGTAACGACATGTCACAAGCAGCTGGCGGCTGGCCCCTTCTCGCAGTCTTCTCTTCAGCCTCGAACTCCGAGGCTCTTAGACCGAGCGTAACAACCATCACGTCGTCCAAGAAAAAAAATTTCTCTTTTTAACCCCTCGTTCTTCGTGCCCTGCAAGCCGAACCGCACCGCACCGGTCTCGCATCGGCCCTCTTGCCCAGGTTTGCATGGTCCGGCCCCTCCCCTCAGTTTCCAGTTTTCTCCAGTTTGGGAACCGTCGCCGTTCCTTGCGCAGCGATCAAATGTACAGACGTGCAAGGCAAGGCAAGGCAGAGGCGCATGCTCGGCACGGACATGGTCATCTTTCATCATCTGAAGATCTTGCCCTTGAAACCTTCCAGATGTATTGTGTCCCCGTTCTATTAGCTCGGGAACCACATGCATCTAGGACACACCCCATCCAAGGTTTATCGAACCATTGATGATGACATTCTGCCTTAGCTAACCCGCTTCTCTGCCGCTGAGAACCCGGGGTTACATCTTGTCAGTTTCAATTACTACTTCCAGAAGCCTGCTACGAAGTTGCTCTCAGCATTGGACCTTTCAAGCCCTTAGTCCGTACTACAGCTGATGGCTCAGATCCATGATCTGGGAATATGATCAACCTGGCATTCCCTTCCTACCACATACGACCATACCCATTGGAAAACTCGGGATCCCGTCTGCTCTCCCATAGATAAGCCAATGAGGGCCGGATTAGTAGTTGGGTCGGTGACGACCAGCGAATACCTGGTGTTGTATGTTTTTTGATGTCCTGGGCTATTCTCGTGATCCATCTCTTTTGCGGGAAGTGTTGTTCCTTCCGGTAGCAAGTTACACTTCACGCATTTTCCGCATATATGTGACGTGACCTTTAAGGTCTCTGATATCCTTCGCACGGGTTAGCATGACTAGATATCTGCTCATTGTCTCTCAGCTGTGGAAGAGTCCCACTTGGAATGATAGCAGCGCTCAAATGAGTTATAGTATTCGTCCTCCCTGCGCCTCTTCACCACTGGAATACCCTTTCGATTCACCCTTGGCAACACTTTCATGCTTGAAAATTCTGTACAGACCCTCATCAGTCTCAAGCCCTACATGCAGGCTTCCCGCAAGTTTCTCGAGCTTCCTGCTCGTCTACGCATCTCCACGTAGATTTCATGTCCCTCCCAGCCCCTCAGAGGATATAACATCAAAGCGGGGAGAGAATCCTTCAGCAACGGCGTCTACCTAATCCAAGATGACAGTCGTGAGGAACAGGCCCAGTCCCGGCGCCACTACTGCCACGGAAACGGCGAAGCACGCCCGTCGCTTTCCGGTTGTCCCCGGGTTCGCTGCTACGTCCTTGATCCGTGAGGACCGAATCCCCGTTCCTGGTGAGATTGGCGATGCCAGGCCGATACAGGAGGGACTGCATCTGCATCGGTCAATTCGCTGTCGCTTCATTGGTGACTCGGTTTCCCGAGCGTTCTCCGTAGTCAGTCTTAACGACATACTACAGAAAGCTGGGCTAACCGGTCGTCACTGTCCTCGTGAATCTATATTTGTCTCCCCCTCGTCCAATGTCTCGAAGACGTCGAAATCGTAGGGATTGTTCTTGTCAGTGTCGATTCTCTCGTGAAATCGAGGATAGGATTCGGTGACTGCGGTGCCTGCGATATCCCTGTATCATCCAGAAGTGGGTGGCTTCGGCAGGCTGGCATCCGGGGATGATTTCTGACGCTCCGGCGTCTTCGTCATCGGCCCATGGACGTTACTCTGGAGTGGACGAAGAACGTCATAGCAAAGTTCTTAGTAGATAGAAGCGTAGGCAGAGTCGTCAATTAATATTTGTATACCACTCGGAGTCAGCTGGTCATCTTATATAGCGTCCTCACGATAGATTAGCTCGTCCACGTGTTGTTGATAGGAATCCAGGAGATGTTATCCTTGCCCTTATTGATACTCCATCATCATCATATGGCCGACGTCTGAAAATAGAAGGGTCCCAGATCCTGTAAGAAACGCGGACTACGTGTGATTGCAAAGCTCAGAACGAGATAGCAGCCTGGTAGGAATTGCATAAGTCAGCCAAGGACTGTCATGATACGCTTGTCACAAGCTAGGTAGGCTTCAGTTGAAAAGCAGGTAATTACGCACAGTACTACAATTAAGCCCAATGTCGCCGTCTAAGTATCGACTCAATATTGCGAGGGAACAGGCCAAGTTTGGATGTATACGAAAGGGTCGTTCAGACACAAGACTACAGAGATACGATCAAGGCTTCTCATGACAGGTGAAAGATTACAAACTGTTTTAAAGACCTCTGGCAATATATCTCACAAGGTCCCTTTCTTTCATTAATGTCGATATCGTACCTCCCAACAACAGATATGGGATACAGAATGCATATTCCCCTCACTATGTAGTTTGCTTGCTTGCTGTTAGTTACAAGTTGGTCGATGAGCTTCTCGCCATCTTGGATCTTGTTAAGCACTTATTCCGACTAGACCTGCCTCACATTCTAAGGAACAAGTTGCGCGGGCCCGAAGACTCTGGTCTGTATCACAGTGGGTCTAAGAAGCCTGATGATTATCACACAAGCTGGTCATCGGTGATAAAACTCACCATCTTCTCCAAATGACACCCGAGCAAGCAAACGTATGGATACGAGAGAAGTACTATGAGGCCGATAGGCTCAGAATCGAATGGATTTCTGGCGATCCTTTGCTCATGGACAAATTCTATGTTACCTTGCGCTGGTTGAGACACGGTGAAGAAAGCCTTCAAAGCAGAGATCTGACGACCATGTATCGCAGCCTTTGCCCTTGTCCCATGCTTGTAGGCTTGAGATGGAGATATGAGACGATGGTTCATAAGTAGAGCCGTTGAAGCTCTTGGCACCGCGTAAGTATATAGACGGTCAGAAGAAACAGCAAGACGAGCATTGATCCGCGGTGGCGCCAGAAAGTGATAAACCCAGTTTGTGTAAGAAGGTCGTCTGCAACTTCACTTGAAAGGACAGATGAAACGAGTTACCCACTCGCGTATTCCGAATGTCGTTGCGGGATCGGAAAATGTGGTCTAGCTGTGAATACAGCCTGACAGAAATGCTCTGCTATAGTTACATACAGCAATGCCAGAAGAAGTGGCAGTTTCTGAAGTTTTGGTGATTTCAGTAGAATGCTGCCGGCGAAATGAGTATTCTATGATCAATGACGATATCTTCAGGCTGGCCGGATGCGCCCACCCTACGAGGTAGGATTCAGAGGAGACGAGAGTGCTTGAGCAACCGGGCTGTGGCTTTAAAGTCTAAATCGACTAAGCTGATGAAGTGACTTAGCACACCGCTGTCAGTTGTTGATGGCAGCCATTGCGGTGCCAGTCCAGACGTTGACAGGTACGAAGGCTTCTCCGTCTCGCCAACGTTGACAATATCATTTACTTTGTTCAATGGTCTAGACGGTTCGTCGACAAACACAATCTTATCGTATCCGTGTTTCATGGCTTATTTATTGGCCTGTTGTTCTACGCTAGAAGATGGACATGAACTATGTCTTTCTCTCTAGACTTGATGAAATCAGAATGAAACCCCTTAGAGATGTAACGCTATGACATGGGATCGCAGTTCTCCTCCGGATCTCCCCATCTAAGCAGGCTGCCCGGACGCCGGTTAATGCAAAAGAAGAATTATACAGAAACAGGAATGAAACAAACTCCTCAAATCCATGGTAATGCAGGCTTCCAGCTTTCTTAAACCTCCACTGGAGTACCGTAACCTGAGTCTCGCTTTTGCGTGACATCCTCGGCCCCGTGCTCAGCCTTGGCCCCGGAGACCACGACCGGCTCCTCCGCCGTCTTCTTCTCCGAACCTTTGGCAAGAGTCTCCGATTCCGAATCGGACCCAGAATCCGAGTCGGAAGAGGATGAATCAGAAGAATCCGCCGCCTCCTTGTTCTTGTTCCGCTTACTCTTCTTGTTCTTCTTCTCCGCCTTGCGCTTCTTCTCCCTCTCCTCCTTACGCTTCTCCTTGGCCTCCTTCTCCTTCTCCTCAGCCTCCTCCTTACGCTTCTTCTCATCTTCCTCCTTCTGCTTGGCCTCGGCCGCCCGCTTCTCCTCGGCGGCCTTGAGCTCCTTCTCCTTCTTCTCCTTGCGCGTTTCCGTCACCCACTCCGCCGCGCCTGCGACCGCGGCCTCGGCGCTGCGCTTGTGCTTCATGAGGTACCCCTGGATCTCGGCGGGGCTGAACTCGTGCGCAGGGATGCGGGCGACGAAAGTCTCGGAGAGGGCCTCGACGGTGGCGACAATTTCTGCGGTGCGGGCGGCGGCTTGCTCGGCAAGCTTTTTCTTCTTCTCGTCGTCGTCGTCCTCAAGAGTGTCACCAACCAGTTGCTTGTGCTCCTGGAGGGGCTGCGCGGCAATGTCCTCGTCGCCCTCGAGGGGTGCGTAGATGGCACGGAAGATGGCACCAATGATTTCGCCGTCGGCCAAGGTGAACTTTACAATCTGGTCGACGCGGCCGGGGCGGATGAGGGCCTTGTCGAGCTTCTCGACGTGGTTGGTAGTCATGATCAGGACGCGGCCCTCCTGGCTGGCGACGCCGTCGAGGATGTTGAGCAGGCCGGACAGAGAGAGGCGGCCGCTGGTGTTGTTGGCGCCGTTGCCCGCCGTCAGCTGGCCGGGCACCATATCGCCTCCGTCCTTGGCATCCGCGGCATCGCCACCCGTTCCGGTGCCATTCTCGCGGGTGTGCGTCAGGCCGGCGGTATCGATATCCTCGAGGAGGACCACACATCGCCGGGGCAGCTCGGCGAACAGCGTGGCCAGGTTCTCCTCGTTGGCCGAGATGGAGCTCAGGCTCACGATGTAGATGCGCATCTTGAAGAAGCCGGCCAGGGCGAGCGAGAGCGAGGACTTGCCGGTGCCGGGGGGACCCGTCAGGAGGTAACCCCGGCGCCAGGGGATGCCGCGGTTGGAGTACCACTTGCGGGTCACGGGGGAGAGGTAGTCGGCAACGTCGTCAACAAGCTCCTTCTTGGTCTTCTCGTTGAGGATGACGGTCGAGAAGGGCCGGGATGTGCGGGCCATGCACCGCTGCCACGTGGGCTCCGTGGTGCCGGCGCGGGTGCTGCCACGGTAGATCATTGTCTTTTGCGAATCCTTCTTGAGGTACTCTGCGCGGGCCTCCTGGAGGAGCTCCTTGAGGACCCAGGGGTTGCGGCCGAAGCACGAGAGGCTAATCTCCTCGCGCTCGCTGACGACGAGGTAGGAGGCCTGTTCGCGGTTCTGACTGCGCTTGAAGAGGAGCAGGTGGCCGCGGTACCAGAACGAGTGGCTGCCGAAGCTGGGGGTGTAGGCGAGGGGCTTCTTCTTCTGGCCCGAGATCTCGACGAGGCCGCCGTCGGAGGACTCGTCCGACTCCTCCTCTTCGTCGTCCCAGCGCCAGAGGAACCAGGAACGGGAGCTCAGGTTGGTGTTGACAACGAAACGCCGCGAGTTCTTGGCAAATTTTTGGGCGGCGACCCAGGACATGAGAATGTTGTAGATCTCGTCGTCGGTGCGGACTTCGACTGTCGACATGAGGTGCTTCTCGACCTTTTCCCAGAGGTACTCGCTAAAGTACCTCCAGGCAAAGGTGGCGCCGCCGCAGAGGATCACTAGGGGGATGTAGACATTGAGGTCGATTCCGAGGTACTTTTGGAAGGCTGTCGTGAAGACGCTGAAACCCGGGAAAAAAAAGTCCAGCAGTGCCAGTTGGGGAGGAGGCTGAGCTGTGCTGGATGAGGTGTTGATGGGATCGGCGTAGCCGGTATCTGTGATTGTGTCCATTGTCTGTAGAAGCTGAGAAAATGAGGCCAGCTCGAGGGGAAAAAATGTGAGTCTATGTTATACAATCGGACTGGTTGAGGTGAGATATCTCGTTGATGGCAAGAGGTAAGACAGTTGAGATGCTTCCTCTTATATATTATGGAGTAGAAAGACAAGGGGATATCGAACTAGTGGAGTGTGTGAGATCTTTAAGTGTTGAATGTGCGAGACACTTGCTATATTATATAGTCGAATTACAGAAGAAGATACACACCCATTCACTTGGGAGGCAACCACGTCAACCAGGCGGTCGTGATCACAAGTCTAGCCAGTCAGGCAGGGGTTTCTGCAACCACCACATGCAATATGCGGGTAAGTTTGCCGGAACACACCACACACCAATTAGCATAGCCGGCCCAGTACATTCAGCTCGTCAGCATATGGGAATGGAGATGGGTCGCTGAGGCCGCCTGTAACGGAGAAGGCGTGAAAAGCATGGTTTGAGTCACTCCGGCTGCGCTAGGACAGCGGTGAGGTAGGGAAAGTTGTAAAATCGAGTCCTGCTATAACCTTGAGGGGCGTTTTTTCTGGGGAATAAGGAGTTAGGACTTCACGCTAAATACTAGGCAACATTTGCTGCCTGCGGCTAAGAACTCTTGCGACTCGTAAGGCTGAGTGATGAACATGGAACCTGGTCTGGGGAAGAAGATCCAGGGCTCTCTTGGATGGCCGGAAATGCGCGGCCCAAGGTCTGAGGTGGATATG